CCGAAGAGAAGCGGGTTCAAACAGGGGTTCACTCTGCCTCCTCGACGGGAGCTTCAGGGTGTTTGTTGCTTTTTTTGGGGAGGGCTCGACGCGTTGGAGTTTTGTTTACCTCGCTGCGTGCGTGCCTGTGTGTGTGCGCGCGCGAGTGTGAGCCCGGGTTGCGCTGCCTGTGCGTGACTGAGCTTTTTGTGTGTCGGCACGAGGCAAAACATCAGCCAGCCAGCCAGCCAGCCACCCCCATATTCCAAAAACATACCCTTTGGCGGCGAGCGATAAAGGTTCCAAACAAAAAGGAAGAAGTCTTGTGACTTGTGGAGGTGAACCTACAGCACCACAGAGGCAGCTGACCTTGAAATGAGCAGCGGTGCTTGGGGACAGGAGGGGGCGGGCGGTGTTTAAGAGTGCAACCTCGGTGCCAGAGGCCAGGAGGCTGCCTAATGACTGGCACACCATGCTATCCATCACCACGCCACTGCCAGGGCAGCTACCCCTGCATAGCCCAGTGCACGAGGTTTTAATCACCCCTCGCACCTAGTCAGTGGACCGCGACTGCATGACACGAAACGCATAAATCCAATGCACAGGTGTTTCATGTGTACATGGAAACAGCACAGACCTAAGTTAACATCGCCCTCGACAAATTCTAATATGCATTCCCCACGCAAACAGCATGAATATTCAGCTAACGCACTCAGACTCACAGCTCATTGGGCTCATTCCGCATGCATACTGAAGAACGTACACCAACTAACGTACTGAAATCTGCCTCTCGACGCTCATTCACATGATATCTATGATATAATATGGGCAGAGTGAAATAACAAGGCACACATAAACCGAAAAAACACGCATATAGGGATATCTCCTGTTTATTTATGAGCTGGTATGGAATTTGTGAGAAAAACAATTGACCTTCCCTGTTTTCATTACATTTTCTGCATTGAAATGGGTGTCTCTGTGGCCTGGAGGGTAAATTTTTGTATGAAAAACTCCTCACAAAGCTCTGCTTTTTCCGGTTTGAGGTGAAAAGTCAGGCTCCCCTCATACCTGGGCCCAGGACGCCACTGTGCTCCAAACAGGCTTTGAAGCCCCCCTACTCTTCAGTGAGGGTTATTTTATCACAGTGGAACAAGGTTTCCCCCCGCACTCCCCGGCTCATCCACGTTCCATGAAGCATCCCCTCTCAATTAAGATCCTTTCATGTTAATGGTGTTCTTATCGCTTCCGTGCACGAGTTGTGAAAGCGAGGCCTGCTATGGCGGAGTACAATCGTGGAGCGTAGCTCCCCGGAATGACAATATAAGCGCTGTTACTCCCATTCTTCTTTCTGTCTCTGTCTCTGTGTCTTTCTTCAGATCTCTATCTTAAATTCTGTCTCTCTTCCTTGCCTTTTTTTGTCCTTAATGAGCTGTTCCGGGCGGTTGGGGCGGCGGCCACATGGAGGAATTCCAAGACAGCGGCAGACTCGTAGCAGGGTCACGGTGACTTAATGAGACAGGGTACACATTAGCTGACCGCTCGCAGCTGATTCTACCCAGACATGTACTCGGGTCTCCGGTAGATATGCCTCCACAGCTCAGCTCACACTCACCGCTACACATCGCACACCGAGCAGAAGGTCACTGTATCGGTCCCTACCAACATCTAACACATCTTTGTCTTTAGCACCATTACTGCCTCTGTCTCTTCCTCTTCCTCCTCGTCTTTTGGAGTCGAACAGGGTGTATGACTCCGGGACGAGGTAGGCAGCCGCTGAGAGATCGCTGGAGCGCTGGCTGCCTTTAAGTGCGTGGGTGCCAGAGAAACCTGTTGCCAGGCTACAACAGCACCTTTATCCTTCAGTTGCGATGGCGATGTCTTGAATATCGCGCAAGCATGCGTGTTCGGAGGCACACCTCTTTTTTTTTTTCTTTTTTTTTATGTCATGGACATTTTGTGTATTCACCTATGAATATGAACATTTGTGTGTTTGCGTGGTTTGGCGCCTTTGTGTGCTGGTGTGCTTTTCTGTTTGTGGGTGAGATTGTTGAAAGGAGAGGCAGGAAGGCGCTCCGCCACCCACTCAGCAGGCCTTCCGCCCCCGTGGCTGACTCCCCAAGACTCTGCTAGTAATTAGCTCAACATCTATCCATCTGTTCTTGGGAGGCGCAGTAAACATTAACACAGCACAGCAACATCAAAATGTTGGCTAGACACAAGCATGCATGATATATTTTGCGCCGTAACATGTGTCGATGCCTGTCACACACATGTTGACTCGCAGTGTCAAGCTCCTATGCAAACACGGAGTGAAGCACACGGCACTGTGCAGCAATCTGTGAACATTTTGAAAGTGAGAGTGCTCTGAAAAGAAAATACTCCACTTACTTAGTGGGAAATAAACTCAATGACGTTTATACGACATTTATAGCCATTTGAGGTTTTTCCTATAGGTGTACTTGTTTACCAGACTACTCCAATGATGCTGAAATCAAGACTTAATGTGGTTTCATGTGGGCGTTATTAATGCGGTTTGTAAAGATGGTTATTTATGACTATTCTTTTCAAATGTGGTGTCTTTGCTCACTCAACACAGCCGTGTATCATGAATCGGTATTTGGGTATCTTAGGGGACTGAAATCTTGTAGTAATCGTGCCTAAAATCTTTGCAGGCTGCAGGTTCATGCAACTATATCCCAGTCCTCCCCAGCACTGCGGAAGTGAGGCTGGAAAGCTGCCCTGAGACCCGCATGGGAAATGAGAGGGAAAAAAACAACCAAAAGACTACATTACACAATTAATCAATAAGTTAATGAGATCTCATTTTCTCTGGAAAAGACTATCCAGGCAAAAAGTTCCCCCTCAGCCTTTTCCCTCTACTCTAGGAGAACCAACTCTTGATATTACACTGTGGAAAAAGAAAGCAGCCAGCAGGAAATTAAATTAAATTACCATCCTGATAGATTTATGTGGCGCTTTACATTTTCATTGTGTTGTTTTCCTCTCAGAGTGGAGGAAGGCCTGAGTTGGGGGAGAACTGTTAAAAATGTTGTAAAGAAAAGAGGTGTGGGGGGGGGGGGGGGGGGGGGGGTTGGGGAAGAAGTAAAACAAGGCTCTGGGAATGAGAGCAAAAGTTCCAGACGTTATATGCCTCTGGCTCCCTTGTCGGTTAGCAGATAGCAGGCTCTTATAGTAAAACACGGCGATGCAAAAATCACTTGTGTTTAGATGAGCTGTAAGATTGCCACATGGTCAATTTCTCTCAGTGTGCATGTTTGTGTAGCTGTGTGTGACAAGGTAGGAAACAGCTGGGAGTGTGGGTGTTGAATGGAGGAGATTGTGCATAACCACGTCTATGATTGTTCCCAACCAGCCCTCGTGTGTCTTGCGAGCCTATAAGTGTCTGTTGCGCTATGCTAATGGGATCGTCCTTGCTCAATCTGTTTTCGTGCCTGCGCTTATGTGCGTTGGCGCGCACCTCGGCGCGCGCCATGTGTCTGCCGCCGCACATTCACTCCCCCTGTGCATTCGCACATTCACATGCATTTATGTCTGCCCATAATTGAATGAAGCTGTCGACATTCCGCACTCTCATTCCTGGTAAAGATTGAGGGCATCTCCCGACTATTGACACAGCTGGTTGTGCCATCTGGGGGCTTGTGTCATCTCCATCCAAACAGGACAGCAGTCATCAAGTGGTGTCTGTACCAATGACAGGGGACAACGGGAGCAGCGAGATATACAACCGCATGGTCCAGCTCCAGCTAGAAGTGATGGGGGAAGAGCCTCTGTCGTCCTGAGACTCTTTTACTTACTTTCAGGCTACGAGGACCCAGAGAGGCTTTTGGTGGTTTACACGTTAGGCATGTTTTCACTGAGGTATCTGCATGCTAAGCCCATACCCCTGTCTAATGTAACAGAACTGTAGATGCAGGGGGAATGGGGGGGGGGGGTGTGGGTTGGGGGGGGGGGGGGGGTGTCTCAGATTAATGGTTGATGCTGAGAGGGAGCACAGACCTACAGTAGCAGCCCCTTGATTTATTTGCCACTTAGCACTGATGAAGCTTCCAACTGCAGTCGCACACACACATGTTGTCACAGCATTTTTCTCCATCAAAGTCAGAGTTGGTTCATCTCCTCTTGCCTCTTGTTTTGATTCGAGTGCGAGCATGGGTGCGGGTGTGTGTGTGTGTGTGTGTGTGTGTGCGCGCAGGTGGAGGTTTTGTGCGCGCAGAAGATTCACCTCCAATGAAACACACATTTCTGTGCATGCCCTCTGCACATCTTCATATTTAATACATGGGTCAGCTCTAATCATTATGTTTTACAGCTCTGGAGTATGTCACCGTGGGTTCACTGACAGTAACATCCTTTGTGAGGAGTGAGGAGTTAGAAAGCCTGGAAAAAGTGGCCTTCCCTGTTTCGAGTGCTTGGTTATCAAAGCTCTCCGCGATTGCAGATGTGAATGGATGTTACGCACACCTGCATGACATTCCTTTGAAAGCTTCCCGCAATATTGCTGTCAATTTAGAGAATTTGCAAAAGGTAACCCAGTGGCAATTTGCAGGCGGCAAATTGTTGAGTTTTGACTTGATAAATACGGGCAGAGTTAATTGAGGGCATCGTTTCACTATGTGGGAGGATTTGACTAAACGGCATAAGTGTGTCACAAGAGTACACGTTGTAATTAACACACATGCGTGTAAGAGCACGCACGTAAACGACAACAACGCACGTGCGCACACACACATGTTTTGAAGTACAAAGACGGAGATAATGACTGAGATTATAGCAGATTTTCTGATCCCTGATTTGGACGTGTTTGGAGCTTTGTGTTTCTTCTTACGTCGGTGGGTTCTGTTGACCCTGAGAGGGTCAGCACACATCAATATTTACACACCCCAGCTCGCGTCATCCACATAAAAGAGATCTGAAGTAAGCCACGGGATCTACGTGCCGCCAATCTTAGCTGCTGTATCCTCAAGAAGCCATGCAGCAGGCTGTGCTATAATCTGGTTTAACCTTCCCCCCGTTGTCTTCTGCTCTCCCAACAGAACCCTGATATCGTGCTCGTCCACTATTTGAATGTCCCTGCCATTGAGGACTGTGGGAAACCGTGTGGACCGATTCTGTGCTCCATCAATACGGACAAGAAGGAATGGGCCAAGTGGACCAAGGAGGAGCTGATCGGCCAGCTCAAGCCCATGTGTGAGTAATTGAAAAATCATTTTTGTTGCTTTCTTCATCACCCAAGCTTGAACATTCGCCCATAGCCTTTAACATGAACAGCTAAAGAGGCCTTTCTGGTCTTTATACATCCATGGTAAACATTTCTACATGTATAATTAGGCGTACAACACTGTGGCCCTGTCTTCTGTCTGGGAGGATTTAATGTCCACTCCTGTTTACTCTGAGCTCAGCAGCTCATTCGAGAGAGCATCTTTTGCCGGTAATTATCCAATGTCTGCTACTCCTGTTTCAAAGTTCAGCTCTTACCCTTGACCTCTGGCACCATTCTGGCCAGACTGAAAGTGCAGCCTGCCTCTGACTGGAGCGTTGAAGCGGTCAGAGCATGGGAGGGCAGAAAGTAGATTATTGATTCATGCTAGTGCACAGGAGTTAGACTCTCCTTCCACCCCCTTCTCTGTCTCCCTCGCCCCTGAGTGTATCATCCCTGTTGTGATTACAAGTTGTAATGCTCAGTGAAGTTGCACTGTATGTTTTTTTAGGAGTACCTATACACCTTGTCGAAAGACCAAGGTAATGTTTTGGAAAAATAAATAGTTTCGTCTGATGATGACAATGGCTGGAGGCAAAGGGGGAGTTTTTGGTGCATCTGAGATCTTTTAGAGACCTCTTAAGATGTCTCTAACAACCAGACTGTGACTCAGGTGTGTCTGGCGTGGGCCTGCAGAGCTGTGACTGATATTCTGATAGCCAATTATTGGTGATGAGGCCAGGTGAAGAGGAGGGTGTCACGGCTTTGCAAGCACACACGCATGCACACTGCATACTGAATGGGAAGCCCAGACCATCGCCACAAAAGTCTGGGCTAAATTGTTACTATCATCACTGCTTAAGTTTAAGGACATTTTAACATAAAGCCTTACCTCAGGACAGCTTCTGAGCTGCAAAGACCTACTGTATTCATTACATCTGTGGCTTAATGTAAAAATCAAGCACCATTTGCAGTAATGTGTGAAGTCATTAACTTTGGCAATTGTTGGGACGAATAGTGTGAGTGTGAGATGCCTTCTAGCTGCCAGGCTACATGAGGGGGCTACATAAAGAGCAAGAATTCCCTTTCCTACTTTCAGTCTTGGCTCTCTGTGTTTCTTCTCTGTTTTCTTTTCTCCTTCTGCTGGAGCATCCCATAAGTCAGGGCGAGCTCTGCGGAGGAGCAACATTGCCATCTAGTGGTTCTGTGAGGTAGCGACTCTCAGCCCGATGGCAGTTGCTGTGAAGTCATGTCATTTTAACCACGCGCCACGCTGCCTCATCTTAAATCATAAATTAGGTCTTTGCACGTCATACATTTGTACCAGGCTGGCCTGAATCTTTCACGATTTTGTCGTTCGTGTTTGCGGGGCTTTGCCTCGGTTTTCTTGCACACAGATGAACTTTTCATGTTCACGAGTGGATGCCAAGATGAATTACTCGAAAGCATTCCTACACACCTTATCTGGGCTGTGCAAGTCAGTTGAAGTTTGTGTTTTGGGCTTTAAGTGTAAAATGCACAATTCCAGGAGTGTGCCATACCCCTGATACTCATACCCACTGTGTTAAGAAAATACTATTATATTGTGATGATCTTGCCTATTTCATAAGCTGAGCTTTGTCAGCACCCTCTCACTCTGGTTTCCTGTCGTTATTTTCACAAGACAACCCCAACTTTGCAATATCCTTTCCATTTTTTTTATGTCGCTCATCTCCTTTTGCTAGCTTCTTCACAATGTTATGCTGCACAAACAGCTAGACACTTTCACGAAATAAAATAAACAACAACAAAGAAAAAAAACATGGATTTCATGGATCAGTTGAGCTTATCCTGTCTCCCATGACTAAACCACACAGGCACGCACCCATGCTCTTAGTCTCAAACATCCTCACATGCGCAGATGCTCACATGCAGCACGCTCAGCCCCGTGAATTTTGGCTGTGTATGACCTCGTCATCCTCCACGCCATGTGGTATTTGATGTGAGGGAGAGGGGAAATAAGGCAGGGGATATGTGTGTGAGTTTGCGTTTGTGTGTGTGTGTGTGTGTGCGTGCGTGACTTTTGGTCTAATGCTATAAACACGTAGCACTTCACAGCTATGCCTCCAGCCTGCTGACAGATAGCGCATGAGCTGCTTTAACAAACACTCACACGGACAGAAGGCTGGTCCCCAGGCCAGACTAACAGGACCAGAGCAGAGCAGACCAAGCCAAGATGGACATGACTGGCCATTGTGTAAACTATTGTACTCCACTGTCCCATGTTGCGTCCAGCGGTGCATAAGTGGTCGGGTTGGGACGTGCCTACAGGTCGGATGTGCTGGTCGTTAGGACTGCGTGGTGACAGGATGCGATCGTCAGAATGATGGCATGCCTGTGTGTCTGTTTGATGCCTCTCCTGATGTTCCCCGGGATTGAACCTTGTGGCGCTATTGCTGTCACGTCCGCTTTGGAATATAACCCTCAGTGAGAGGAGCGGACAGGCAGACATGGTGGTAACTGTATGTCAACAGCCCACAGCCTCCGGGGATGACACTCGTCCAGATGAGGAGTGCTGTGGCAATCTGGCGTGAGGGATTAGGGCAGGGAGGAGACAGGATTGTTTGGACAAACAGGCATGGCACCGCTTGGTGGATGTAAGTTGTTGCGTTGCGTTGCTCTCACTCCCACTCTGAGTTTGTCATCCGAACGGACACCCTGACTGGCTTTCGCCATGAAAGGAATTCAACGGCTGCGTTTTTAGAATGGCGGCGTCCTCATTATATTTTTATTGGCGTTATAAGTACCCCTCTCATTTGTGATGTTTGCATGACATCTGAAGCCGCAGCGTTCAGGCTCCCCCTCAGACAAAAAACAGAACCTCCCCACAGCAATTAAGCTGACAGCAGATGAAACGTTCATGTCACATGGGCTGTCCCTCCTTTTTCAGCTCATTCATCATAGAATAAAGGCTGAATAAATCAGACTTTTTAATGTCTCTGTAACCTATGTGTTGTCTGGGGAGCGTGTGATCTGGTCTTGATCACAGCTGCTCTGCTGACATCTGCTGGTGACCAGCCTGTTATCTGCCAGAAGATCTTAAAGCTTTCAAGTTCAATCCTCATCACACTCATCTCATCATGCTCAACCATATTTTTTCTTTTTTTTTTTTTTTTTTTTTTGCTTCAGTTTAAACAGCTTTATCTTTAATCTTCTGCACCTTCAACCTCTTATTCTGCCTTAATCTTGTTTTATCTCATGTGTTAACAGACATGAACTGAGCAAATTCTCTGTGTAAACTTTGCTCTCTTTGTACAATTCCCTTTCATATTTAACCAAAAGAGGTATTTAAATGAAGAATATTAGATTAGATGTGGCTTGATTTTGCTTGATAGTCTGGATATGTTTCACTTATGAAAAATACTACCATTTCTCTGGTTGGGAGCCTGAGCACCGCGGCACTCAGTGGTCTCGCCTATCACCTTACAGCCTTTAAAACCACTATCTGTCACATCAGAAATGGTGGCTGCTTGACAAGTGGAGCAATGAAAAGTATTAGGAGGTGCTAGTGAGGTGTGACTGTGGGTGAGAGACTTTCTTTCTCCTCTGGTGCAGTCGCTTGGTGATGTTCCACCTCAGAGGCTTCCCCTGTCAGAACAGAGTCATTGGTCAGGGTAAGGATGGAGGGTGGGGAGCCTGAGTTTGCTGTCACCTTCATCTTCACTCACAAATGGAATGCCACAGGTAGCAACAACCCTGGAGTGTGGGAGGGAAAGAAGCGTGACAAAGATAAGTCGTCCAAGCGGGCCTGACTTTCTGGTTAAATAGTAGAATAACTCAAAGGAAAACTGGGTCTAGGAAAGAGAAAATGCACACAAGGAAAAGGATAAATCAAGACTCTTTAATTGAGTGAGGTGATTTAGCATCATTAGAACAAATATAAGGAACTACCGCTTGGATCCTCCCAACGTTGCCGCTACTGAAAATCAAAACTATGAACGACTTTGGTATCTTGGTGTCCATTGAGAGGGATGAGACATACTCATAGGCAGACAGGGAGGGCAGTGTTGGGGCGGGAGGTCGGCGTGGCTGGCAGTCTGTTGGGCTGGCTGACATCTCTGTCTCCTCCTCTCTCCCGGCAGTTCATGGCATCAAGTGGACTTGCAGCAATGGGAACAGCAGCTCTGGCTTCTCAGTGGAGCAGCTAGTGCAACAGATTCTGGACAGCCACCAAACTAAGCCACCTCCCCGGACTCACAACTGTCTCTGCACGGGTACTCTGGGTAAGGGCTAGCGGGTGGCATTGCATTTGCTCTCAAAAGGACAAGTGGATAATTCAGAGGGAGAAAAAAAAGTGCTGCAAAGAAATGATTTAGCGCAGTGGAGGAGACAAGGTGGCTGAGGTCTTTTACCGGCAAGTGATTAACAGTGTAATAAAGTGTAAAGGGTGATTGGCTCATTATTTTTTGTTTTCTGGAATTTGTGCCACTTCCATATCTTAAATGTTAAAGCTGTTTCTTCACTAAGCTGATCAAAGGTTACATGTGGGAAGCTTGTTCTAAATATTTCCATGCAAATGTGAAAAACTTCTTCATTGAGGAGCCATGTGAGAATCAAAAAGCAAGTTACGGTCCCTTTCACAGAGAATGGGTCGGAATTTATATTTACAAGATTTTACAAGATTAGTTGATTAACTTATTTGTTACAAAAAAAAGTAAAATGATGCAAAGCTTTTAGATAGAGACTTGTCCTCCAGGCTTTTGGTAGTTCGTTCCACTTCATTTCGAGATGTAGTACGTTGGAGAGTTGTTCTTTTAACTACTGAGAAACCCCATTTTGTGTTTTTCAAGGCTCATTTGGTTTAACTGAGCAGTAGAAATGGTTTCAGATCAAAATATGCAACTTTGCATGCTTTCAAGGCAATATTATCCATGGTATTAATAGAATATATCAATCAACAGTAGATAAAGTCCCATTTTCAAGGGAGAGGCAGAATAATTGGTGATAAAAAGGGAAATAAACCACAAAGAATTTAAGGAAATGTATTGACTGATTTTCGTTTCTAAGAATAATCTGGGCTAAATATCATGCTTAATGTTAGATTACATAGTGAACCCTTTGAAATGATCCTTTTAGGGAAGGGATATGACAGACCCGTAATAAGAAGGCTGTCGGTCACTGTGAAAAGTTTAGATGTAAGACTTGTACACCTGCACATGCATGAGCAATAGAAAAATAACTCATTCTGAATTTAGCTATTCCAACCCTTTAAACAAAAAGTATTAAAAGTGCTAGCTTTTTATTTTTTATTCCGACATGCTGCTGCTGTTGTGTGTCAGCTGCTATGAATCAAACTGGCCATTAAGTGGTTTAAATAGGGGTCTCCCATAAAGGGAAACAGGAGATGTGTGGAGATTTCATTTGAAAAGTGGTTGTCAAAAATATCTGTGTGCTTCAGCAAAATTACATGTTTGGCCTTTTTTAAGTTTATTTAAAAATAATGAAGTACATTCAACAGAGATGTGTTACATATATTATTTTTGAATGCAAAAACTACAACTCTTGACCTAGTACAATCATGCAAATTAGTCAAAGGTACATTTCAAAACATCGGCCTCAGTTGTTGCTGCCTTGATGGAAGCAAACAAGCTGATGCAGGGTGCTGAATCAAAAATGGTTCTGTGCAAAAGCACTTTCTCATGCATAGTAGCATAGTTCCCACCTCAGACAATGTGGGTGAGGGGGGTAAAAATGTATCCATTATCAGTGTTTCCCAACCCTGGTCCTCAAGGCACACTGCCCTGCATGTTTTCCAAGTTTCCCTGCTCCAGCACACCTGATTCTAATAAATGGAACGACTTTTCAGCTATGCAGAAAGTCCCAATCATTAGAATCAGGTGTGCTGGAGCACAAATCTAATATGCGTTGTATCTAATGAATCGAGCAGACAAGCAGCAAAGTTAAATAATGTAAACTATTTTTATATTAGTTTGTTTGAATACTTGGTGAAAAGATTTAGTTTTTATTTGTATTTTAATTGTTCAAACAATACTTAAATTATGTAATTGATTGACTTGCAGTGCTTAAAATGTGTTTGTTTTTTTTGCTCTAACACACCGTGTCCCATTTTGCAAACATTTAACACCTCATTCACGTTTTAGACATGCAACTGCAGAACACAAGAATATTCAGTGAATAAATTAGTAAATGTTCGTCATTTGGTGAGCACATTTTTTTTTTCATAGATTTTTCTTTTGTCACAGAACAAAAACTGTGTTTTCATTCATTTTTGTGTAAAATGTCAAGTATTCAACTATTCTCCTTTTTTTTTAAATCTTCAATAACTTATCACTGACCCGCCCTGGTTGACCAGAAAGCCTTATGTATGTACTTTTCAGATCTTTTTCAAAGAGACCCCCAGTTTAGTTATTTCTTTATATGTCATACAAATCTTCACAAACAATTGACACCCCAGACAAAACATGGCTCGTTATATGATCTTGCTAAATGGTAAAACCTACTAACAAACCTGATGATCCATCCCTGCCTTAACTCATTGAAGTTCCTATTGCCTAGTTTGTCAAATATGGACATTAAATTACTGTATTGTCTTTTCTCCCAACCAAAAGTGCAACCGCTCTGCTCTGTCTGCCTCTTGCCTCTAGGTGCTGGGAGCAGCGTGCACCACAAGTGCAACAGTGCCAAGCACCGCATCATCTCCCCTAAAGTGGACCCCCGCTCGGGAGGCTACAGCAGCGCCCATTCCGAGGTCCAGAACAACGATGTGTCCGAGGGGAAGACCGAGCACAGTGGCCACGGCGCGGCCAAAAGTTCCGGGGGAGGCGGCGGCGGCACCAGGGAGAAACGCAACGGCAAAGTCCACAAGCCCGTGCTGCTGCACCAGAACAGCACAGAGGTGTCCTCCACCAACCAGGTGGAGGTCCCCGACACCACGCAGAATTCCCCGGTGTCCATCAGCAGCGGCCTCAACAGCGACCCGGATATGGCCGACAGCCCCGTGGTGACGGGGATGAGCCACGTGGCCTCTGTCATGTCCGGTCTGTCCCAAAACGTTTTCATGCCCGAGGTTGCCGGGGACCCCGTCTACAGCATGTCTCCCACTGGGGGTCCGAATACTCACCTGATGGGGGCGGACGCCACTTCGCAGGGCCTGGTTCTGTCCGTGACCGCTGATCGTCACAAATTCGCCTTCCCCGGAGGAGGCGTGGGGGAACCTGGGACCACCACCGCCGGAGACGGTCTGTCCATGCTGTCCACGGCCGGGGTGTCCGAGGAACTGGTGCTGACCAGCAGTCTGGACTCTGGAACCATCAAGATACCGGAGACTAATATGAACTTCGACCCCGACTGCTTCCTGAACAACCCCAAACAGGGACAGACCTACGGCGGCAGTGCGATGAAGACCGAGGGCAACTCCTCCTCTAACTCCTCCTCCTCCGGGGGGGGCGGCAGCACCAACGGCAGCCTGCAGCGCTCCCCCCCCATGTCGGACAACGGCTACACCTTCAGCTCAGCTCTGGTGAAGAACATCAAGACCGAGGACACGTCCTTTGAGCAGCAGCTGGCCAAAGAGAGTGGCTACCAGGTGGGGGGAGTGGTCAGCTGTGGCAGTGGGGTGTCCGTGCCGTCCGGCGCGGGGTCAGGTCCGGGCAGCCTCGGTCTGTCCGCAGCCGGCACCCTGCTTCCCTCCGGTGGGGGTCTGAGTCCGAGCACTACCTTAGAGCAGATGGACTTCAGCGCCATCGACGCCAAGCAGGACTACACCTCCAATGCCACCACCGTGAGCTACGGCCAGGCCCTGTCCAGCCCCCACATGCAGCACCAGAGTCGCTCGCCGAGCTTCTTCCTCCAGGATGCTTCTCAAAGCGGCCAGGCTCAGCAGGGGAGGCCGGGCATGGGCCAGAAAACGCACTTGATGGAGCACAACTCCCATGACTCCGGCGCTTACATGGGGCTGCAGGTGGTGAAAACGGACTCCCCCGGCAGCAACGGCCACCTCCACCACCACCACCCGGCCCACCAGTCTCAGCACAGAGCCAACTGCAACGGGGGCTCGCCCGCTGAGGGCCAGGCCGGCTCCCTGCAGCTGCTGCAGTACCAGGGGAGCTTTCCGGGGCTGGGCTCTGAGCACGAGGAGGTGGTGGGTCTGGAGCAACCCGGCGGCGTGAACGCAGCTCCGAGCGGAGCCGCGGAGAACGGGGCCGACGCCCTACTCAAACAGGGAGACCACATTCAGGCCTGCGGAGCGGGGAACGGAGAGGGGAGAGGAGGAGCGGAGCACTACCTGCAGCAGGCCTCGGATGGGGGCGGCGGAGGGGCCGGGGGCGCGGGGGACGGAGTAGCCATTCACAACGGGAATAACGGCGGCGACGGCAGCGGCCGCTCCCAGCAGCAGCAGCAGCAGATGCAGCCTCTCCTCCAGGGCACCAGCATGGTTCAGGGACTCTACAACGCGGTGGGAACCCACCAAGGCCTGGGTGGAGCGGCCAGCAACGGAGGGGCGGGGGGAGCGGGGATGGAGATCAGCCTGGACCACTTCGATATTTCCTTCGGCAACCAGTTCTCCGACCTGATCAACGACTTCATCTCGGTGGACGGCAGCGGGGCGGCCATGTCGGCCGGAGGGGCCCTGTACGCCCACCAGCTGGTCACTTCCCACAGCTCGGAGAGTCAGAACGCCGGCGGGGCCCCGCAGCAGGGCCAGGAGGACGGAGGGGCCCGGGGCTCCGGCTACAGCCCCTCGGAGCTCTGCCTTCAGCCCTGCTGCAGCCCCCAGTCCCTGAGCGGCGGGGCGGGCGCGGCCGGCGGCGCGGGGGAGGCCGGGTCACTGTCCTACATGAACGTCGCAGAGGTGGTGTCGGCAGCCGTCGCCCAGGGCGCCCTGGGGATGCTTCAGGCCACAGGCCGCCTCTTTATGGTCACCGACTACTCCCCAGAGTGGTCCTATCCCGAGGTGAGCGACGGCTATATTCACTTTTTTCACAAATATGAACGGAAATTCGATCTCTGTCGGTTGCAACTTCAGCTGCTACATATTTAAAAAGCCTTAAACTATTATTTGATATATATTTAAATGTATTCAGTGAATGAATAAATAGATGCATCCAATTGGGTTTTTACTATCTCTTTTGGGTTAATTAGATATTGGCTGATTTGAAATGACTACACGCTCTGAATAGAGGTTCAAAGGCCTCGGATCTGAGACGTCACATTACAGCTCATCCTCTCTCTGTCCCTTCTGCTGCCTCCACCTTCAGATAAAGACTACTAAAGCCAGGATGTTGAATGAGATGATGATGATGACACATCAGGTGTTTTTCCAGAAATGATTCTCCAAAATTATGGATAAATAGAAGATAGAGAACATAAATAACGTTATGCGTTATCATGAGAGCAGAAACTCCCTGGAAACAGCAAAGTCGCAGTCTTTGCTGTTTTTGGTCCTAAATCATCCTTTCTCTGTGACTGCCATACACTTTCTGCCCGCAAACAGCTGCAGCCGCAGTCAGCTTGGATTCCAGTCACTTGTCACAGCTTGGTTTTTCACAGGAGACAGGAATACGTCCTCGACTGACTCCTCAACATTTGTTTTGTTTTTTTTTCCTTTTCCCCCCTCCTCCTCTCACTTGTACAACTCCGGTTTGATTTTTTCACTCTGGGCTGTCCTCTTTCTGTCAGAAGCCAGATGTCAAAAGCTCTGACTCAAACGCAATATTAATAAACTGATCCGGGTTCGGTTGTCTTGCCTCTACTGCTGCGCTCTCAGAGTAGCAGCACTAGAAACGGCAGCCAGCTTTTGGCTGCCGCTTTGCCCCAGGCTTCACATCCAGGGCTGACATTGTGCCGTCTAAAGAAAACACGCTGATGTATCTGTTGCAGTTAAGACCAACAAGTGGAACTGAAAGGGTCTTAAGTTAGTACTTTGATAGTAAGATGGTCCAAAAAAAGAACACTTGTGTTATTGTTGTAGCTTTTGACATTTTCTGAAATATATGAGTTCCAAAGAAATCCCTTTTACAGACCCAATCTTCCCCCCACACAATCAGGTATCATTTTTTTCTAAATTAAAACCGGTGGTAGAAATTCTCCCATTTGTCCTCTTGAGGGCACCAAATCACCTAACACTCAGTTTTGAGTAAAGATTTTGAAGGAGTTCAGCCACATAACGTTTGATATCCACAAGATGGCAGCAGATGTTGATATAAGGAAGCTGCTGTTCCCTGGCTGGGTGTCATCTTGCCTCTCTACCCTAGATGGCAGGGAAACTGTATTTTTGAGGTATTCTTCAGCCTGCTTTGATTGACTGGCGCTGAGTTTGTTTAATTCACTGTTCATGGTCTTTCAGGGCGGAGTTAAGGTGCTGATCACTGGTCCCTGGCAAGAGGCCAGCTCAAACTACAGCTGCTTGTTTGATCAGATCTCAGTGCCAGCCTCCCTTATCCAACCCGGGGTGCTGCGTTGCTACTGCCCAGGTTAGAGACGGGGGGCCGGGGGCTAAGTTACCTTAGAGAAGAGGTCCATCCATGGAAATATTCAGAACAGTTTGCAGTAATGGTTTTTGTTATGAACAGAATGACATCGCCATTCTGTTCATACAGATATTTAGATTTAAGGTAAAAGATGTAGATACAGGCCTGCTTTGTTGTTGTTTCTTAAACAAATCAAGCTTTTTAAAAGAAATGCATGAAAGACTGGACTTAGCAGGGCATTTGATTGAAAATGTTTGATATTTCTAGAATGTGAACAATGTCCTAATCCTCATTTGTTCTTCCTCACCCCCAGCTCATGATACAGGTTTGGTGACACTACAGGTGGCCATCAGCAACCAGATCATCTCCAATTCTGTGGTGTTTGAGTACAAGGCCCGCGCTCTCCCCTCACTGCCGTCATCTCAGCACGATTGGCTCTCTCTGGACGGTAAGTAAGCGCCCAATTTTCTCATACGCTTCGCTGCTCTTGCAGTGTTTCTATATTCTCGTTTTGCATTTGGTGTTCTTTTTTTGTTCCATTGCTTTGCTTTACTTGCTCAGATTGCAGAGCGGTATTTACAGTTTGCCCACCGACTCTCTGAATCTAGTCCTTACATTTCCTGTTGATATTTATTTGTGTTTTAATATTCTGAGGTATCAAGTAGATTAAATCATGCCCTTTTCTCAGTCTTACTTTTTATGTCCCCCTTGCTTTCTTGTATTGGGACTTATTAGAGCTCACCATATGTGTTTTGGAAACCTAATTCAATGAGATATCTGTACGCAGATGTATGTGTTGTATTTTTCAAGTTCTTGCTAAGTAAATGCTCTAATTGGATTGCATCTTGTGTGACATAAAGCTTGTATTGAGAGTGGAATTTTCGTGGTTTTATGCTTGGATGTCACCAAAGAGTCATTGACGTGTTCTTTAATGCAGAGCACTGTTTTTTTTTTTATACTTTGTCCTATTTCAACATTAACGATTCAGTCTTATTAGCATCTGCGTTTAGTAAAATACACTTAAAAAGTTGATTGAAATGTTGAAATATGACTGGTATGACTGCTTTGTATATGTGAGAAAACACTCCTGTTAATATTGTGGCATTGATAAATCACATGTCTTACAACAAGCTGACTGATAGTTAAACTGTTACATTTGCTCTACAGTGATATCTTTGTTTAATTCTGAAATGTAAGTAAGGCACCACAAGCAAACAGCTTGCCACATGTAGGGGTGTGATCTAAACTGAATTTGGTTACAAAAGGCTGAAGACTATTTCTAACATAAAAAACTCCCATATGGAATAATGGTTGTTGCAGAATATTCAAATTTCCACTCAGTTGTGTTGAGTCTGTGCGTCAGGAGACCTGCTGTATGCGCGTTGGAAAGGAAGCGGTGCACGTGTAGGCTGCCGTGTGTGTGTGTGTGTGTGTGTGTGTCTGCTGCTAGAGGATGTATTGCTGCAGTGTTTGAGCATTGACAGGATAAAGTAGGGCACGGTGAAGCACGGGCTCACAGGACAGCTGCATTGCAGACGGCCCTTCGGGGAGTGGGAGTCGGTAATGGAGACCTGCATAGCTGCTGCCATACATGGCAACACCAGCAGATCCCTCCGCCATTCATACCCTACTGCCTCACTGGCCCATTCACAGAACCAGTTAAGGAGGAGCTGACTGTCTTAGGGAGAACACAGCCCACCCTATTACCTTACTTACATTAACTCCTTGCCTGCCATCACGTATGGTTTGTTTTACTATCTGATATCTCCATCTGAAGTAACCAGCTATAATTATCCAACACTTGTGTTTGCCTAGATTTTAATCCCTGATGCATCCGGTTATGTAACAGCTAATAAATCATTTGTGCTCCATGTTGACAGAAAAACATAGTCCCCACCTAATTAGTCAAATAAGTGTGTGTTGTTTGCAGATGACGAAGTCAGACTGAAGAGGTGACCCTGTGTGGGGACCTGGGTGTTGCTTGGAGGGAGTAGGGAGTCATGCCAAAGCTTTTCCTGAAACATTCAAATGCGATAATCGCTCACGTGGTCGATTTTTTTTTTACTACAACAGGTGAATGTACCTCCAGGATCCAGCTAAGTCTGTGACCGTCAGGTTCAGCACCGCACTGAGTGGACAGCGACCATAGCTCACAGCGCTGAGTCCACGTGGGTCCACTCAGGGACTCTTTATAGTAAATCGGTGTCGGTCTGTGTGGAGTTTCTCCCCTTTGTCATCACATTGTACCCCCACCGTGTAACTTATTTCAGAAGTAGGGCAGAGGCAGTAATTATGGGCTTTAAATTGCATCGATCATGTCCACCATAGAGGCACAGCTTGCGTAAACGAGAGCGCTGAGGATCCGGTGGAATAATGACAACGGGGAACTTATAAGACTCTCACGTGACGAGTTCACTGTTGCATTGACAAGCTTGTCGTCTGGCTGAGTAGAATAGCCAAAGCTGTTGTCATTGGGCTACGTGCCCTACGTGTCAATGTTGAGCGGGAGTCCGCAGCGGTGTGGTGCTATGGGCTCCGGGAGTTCGCTCTCCCACGGAAGACTAACTGTGCTATGATGTGCTAATGGCACAGCTGCCTGCCTGCCTTGATTTGTCATAATGCAGAGTGGGGGAAGGGGCGCTTTTTCCTCTGCAGCACTGCAGGTACGGAGCCATGGGCAGGACAGAAAAAGCTGCCGGAGCCGCAGAGCGCTCCGGTGGCTCCAAATAAGTCCCTGAGCTCACATTCCACCATCCGAGCCGGGAGAGGGGGGCTCAAACAGCCAACCACAACCCCGCACAGCCACACACTGACCGTCAGAGAGCAGGGGAGCGTTCTGAAAAGCAGTGGCTCTAAAGCCGAACTGCGGCGGCATGACAAACGGCAGAGCGCGTACCCAACACACAAAGCAGGCGCGCAGGAGGGGGGCGTGTTTGGGGGGAAACATGGTAAACTCCCCAGCAAAATTGCTCAAATTCTAGTTTCAGACAGCAGCAACTGAGCTAACTGGGTAAAAAAAAAAAAACAAAAAAAGAAAGAGGGGGGCTAATCCAGACGTGCTTTGAACGCTTTTTCTGACTTTTCTCCGGTGCGAGCGAGAGACTCCGCGAAGGCGCGCACAAACGAGCAGACGCGCGCGTCCAGAAGAAGCCCGCCGCATCTGCCGGACACACACCGCTCCGGCCAAAGATGAGAACCGCCTCGGTAACAACCATAGGCCAATGAAACGAGGGGGAGCCGAACGGGAGCGGGACCGCGGCTGCAGAAGGAGGCGACGGACGGGAATCAGGGCGTCTGTTTACCGGCCGCACGTGCGCACAACGTTCCCCCGCGGCGGCGTTTGTCATTTTACTGCAGGCTGGGGCAGCAGCAGCAGCAGCAGCAGCCACTACTTGAAACACTGTAGGGAAGTGTGCATGTGCGCGAGGTGAAACAAGTGAAGAGGAGGTGGGGGCTATTAGAGAAGGAAGAGAATGAGCGGTCTTCCTCTCCCCTCTTTCCTCACGTCGCTCTCTTCCTTCACTTTGTTCTATTGTTGACGAGTCCTCTGTTTGAGAGTGAGATTCAGTCTACACCAAGGATATACATGCTTTTTCTATTTTTCTCCGTTCTAAGCATCATGCTCTAGTCTGACCGGGGGCCAGATCAATTAACTGAGAGTTGGACTTCTCTGGGTCAGGATGAATGACACCCGCAGTTCCTAACAGACAAAGAGGCTGTGTATTTTTGTTTTTCATCTTTTGGCTTTGAGGTGGACTCTACCAATGGAAAATAAGATAGAAGGTTAGAAGTGTTCAGCTCAACCTTTGGCTGTAGTGCTGTGCTGTGATGTGCTGTGGTCGTGTTTCATATTCTGTGCGTTCCATGTGTTTGCCGAGAAGTTCCACGTTTCTCGTGACGCCGCATGCCGACTTATTGTGGGTCTGATTCTAGCCCGGCGCAGCCGCTGCTGTTGTTGCGGAGTTGTGAGGGGATCGCCTGCTTTGGCCACGTACTTTCCAAGTGTTTCATGCGACTCCTGGCTCACGACTTCTTCCACATGCTTCAAGGCGCCATCGGAAACTAAAACCTTCTTTAACTCTCAGTGCGCCTTTCTTTTTTTTTCTTTCCTCTCACCTAGCCTTGATACCTTAAGGAAAAGCCATTTTCTCTGCCCTTTTTACGCGTTTTGCCTGAACTACAGGGTCAGTGTGACCCAGGCTGCCTCTAGTGAGGCTTCACGTGTGGTTGGAAGGCGCGTTAGTTGCTGTGGTCCTGTAGCGCACCGCATTGGGGGGGGGGGGGGGACTGTCGCATCCTCAAGTGCCGCTGAGGGTATCGGTGCCATGTGTGCAGCCGGAGAAAAAAACAACCGCCGCTGTCAGCGCGCAGGTCAGCCCTCATTCAGCGCTGACCTTATCAGCAGCGTGGACAGCGTTTGACAGGCAGTGCGTGGCCAGCAGCCCCTCCAGACTGCGCCCCGGCAACGAGCCCCCCCAGTCTGTGCAATATCCAAACATACATTCATCTACCTGTTGCTCGTCTTTGAAGTGTCCCTGTATCAGAACCACATGCATTCCCGCACTTTAGCAAACACAGGCTGCAAGACCAAAGTTGAAACTCTTTTTTTTTCTCATCTCACACCAGCTTAATGCAAGTGCATGCGGTAGGAATGGAAACTAACTTCATATTTTGCTTAGACAGTTTCACTGTGGATATTTTGAGTGCTTTAGTTCTTTGGATGTGTCAGGAGGTCATTAGGAATCAAGTTCCCTTTGCATCAGTGTGATACTGTGATTGTGCCATTGTGCCATAGCTGTCATATTGTCATGGCTGCCGGAGTATCTAACATAACAACTCCATAACTCGTGGTGCTGGAGGTGTTGAGGGGAGGTGCAGTAGCAGCTGCAGTTCTAGTGGCAGAGGCGGAGACATGCACGCTTACACGTGCAGCTGATCCTTCACCTCCAGAGTTTTGAAGATAAGAGCGTGTGGCAGAGAAGCTGCCTCTGTCTTTTACACAGATCAACTTTTTCGTTTGCTTCCAGTGGTGCCACCGTATTTATCTAACTTTCAAAGTCAGTCATGGTGACGGTGTAATAGCAGTAACTCATGTTTGGTGGGATCCAAGTGGGAAATGATGTGTAGTGTCTCACTTCACAGTGAATGTGGTGCAAAGTAAGGATATTCAGAGAGTGTTCAGATAAATGCATATCTCAAAGTATGTCAGTGGCGTGAGATGTTAATGTGTGATGCAGAATATGCTCCTTTTTCACCTACGGTTCAGTTGGTCAATGCACTTTTATGTAGCTGCACTAACTCTGAGATGCTGTATGACTTAACTGACAGAGATGGGGTTAAATGCTCTTTAGTCCTGCACCAGTTATCGGTCATAAATCTTTTTTACAAAATCTGTCTTGAAGTCTGATCCCTGTCTGTTCTCGCTTTTCCATCTGTCAGCAGCTGTTAAAATGCACAAGGGACATGCCATGGATAGGATTACAGTGATTTGTGGAATACTGACATCCAGGTGCTGTGAGATTCTGAGGGAAGCCAGTTTAGGCCGAATAGCTTTGTGAGTGCATTAATGCTCTCAGTGCTCGGAGAGGTCCTGCCCCCTGAGCTGTGGGCTGTTTAAGCCAGAATGATTCATCTTTTAATTCATTTCTCCACTCATCTCTTGTTTGTGCTGTCTTATGATGAGTAGTATGTATTTGTATATGCAAATGGGAATGTAAGGAAACACATTTGTTGCTGAACAAAAAAAAACACACGCTGGTCATCTTTCCAGGGCAGATGCCCGTGTTACTCCACTAATGTTATTGCAGATGACAGCGAATCCACTCGCTGCACTCTTTTGACTTTTTACCTTCTATGTGACACAGTGAATTTATTCTGCGTTCAAACTCGTCTCATAGTGACCTATAGAGCTGGATAAATGCAAGTAAAAGCATAGGAACTGAGTAGAAGCACGCTGAACTTTATTTACTGCTTTGTAGTTTGATTGTAGAAATCAGCTATAATAACAGATGTAGGCCCTGTGTTCAGTTTTCTTCATTCATTGTAGCTGTGTACAGCAGGAGAGCTATGGTAGTGATGTAAGTATCTGTGGCTTAAGATTCAAAGCGTATTGAGGTTGTCTGCTGTTTTGCACAGGCATCTAGTCTGTCGGAGACGACTACAAGAGAAACTACAAGAGTTCACACCATGCAGACAAATTTGTTTTAGGGTGAGAAAGAGGACAAAACATATTCACTTACAGGACAAAGAGGAGAAAAAAAGCAAATGTGTTTTTCAGGTTTTCAAATTAAAAGAACAAGTTCAGTCTTTGGTCTATAAATCCGGGGAAGTTTCTGCGTGGAGTTTGCATGTACTTAGTTTTGGGGTTTTTTATGAGGAGTTTCTCCCACTGATGCTTATTTAGCTTCTGCTCCACCTCTTACCCCACCTGTGACCCTGAATAGAACAAACAGTATAGCAGATAGATGGGCTTTTAGATTATCTCTGAATTGTTGTTTTTTCGGGGTTTTTTTTTTTCATTTTTCCCGTGAAGTCTCATTCTAGGCGATATTTTAAACCTGCTGTAGCGCTTCTCTCAGTAACTAAAAGCCAAAATAGCGAGTCTTTGAGCAGCACAGAGCCATGTGGTCCAGCTGTGAGGGATGCTGCCAGATGGCCTGGCCTCTTTCTCTGCACAGTCACAAATACCAGCCCGTGTCAATCAGCTCACACAAGGAGCCAGAGGAAGGCTGGCCTCTGGTCCTTCCACAGGGGTTACATGTGATCATTTGACTGGGTGCCGAAAGATAATGAGCTTCATCTCAGCTCTTGACTGGCATGAGCTGAAGCTGAGGTTGGGAAGTGAGGATTAAAGATGTCACCCAGGCTCTGAAATATGTAACCCCTATAAGCCCTTTTGTTATAAAGGAAGACGTCCTTGACAAACACAAACTGTTAATCCAAAAACAGATGAAGAAACTGAGCTAAAATGATTGTAAGAAATCTGTGCTTGCTCGTATTTCTAAGACGCTCAAGCTAGTTATATAATCGTCTTTTTGACACCCTCCGTCTTGGCATGTCCTGTAATTTCTGCCCTTTATCTCGCCTCCATTTTTTTCCCCTACCCTTCTTCAGCACCGTCCTCCGTTCCACTCATCTCTTTTCACCCTTGTCCCGTCCTTTCTGTCCTTACTCTCTCCTCCTGTCTTCCTTCTCCCTGCAGTCGGTTCTCTTTCCTATCGCGCTCCGCTGTGTCTTAATAAGCTGTGTCGCCCTTCCTGCCCTCATCCCTGCGCAATTCAACCTGTCTTACCAAGAGCTTCTGCCACATTCCCGGAGATAAGAAAGATCAGATGGGGCAGGCCTTTGTGGATCGAAGCCTCGAGCACATTTAATAGGTCCTCTGCTCTCCGCTTCTCTTAGAGACGCTGGGTCTTTTTGGCAGCACATGGCCATGAAAAAGAAGCTACAACTAAAGCACAGAGAGACACCAGAGCCAAACTATATGAAACGCCTCTCATTCTGCTGTTATCAAACACAAGATACATTACAACCTTGCTGCTTTGGCACTTATGAGTTAGAGAAACTTCCTACTAATGTTTCCTAATGTAAGGCTTTAAACTAAAGTACATTACAGAAACAAGCCACAGGTCAGTTTGTACCTTTTAGGACAAAAAGCGTCAACTCTATTTAGTACTATTAAAAAGGAAAATTATTACTCATTCAAGTTCCTCCTTTACTACAGTCTTTGAGTATAAATGTTTTTTTGCCTTTTTAGCCTAGGAAAGTGTATCTCTGTTAAAATATTTATAATGTGGAAATTTGTCAATTTTTTCAGGCTTTTGTCAGAAAGGTTCTAGTCTCACTTATAGCAAAAAATACATATTTAGAGGTATTTAACTGTAAATTTGAAGATCTTATGCTTGTGTTGGTTAATAGACTATATAAAGCAAAAGTACTCTCTATGAGCTATATTCATTACAGTATCTCTTATTGTATAACACTGGAACTCTGCATGGAACTACGTGCTTCAGGAATGAGTTCAGTGAGAGATGTGGCATAAAGATCATTGGTGTTATTTATTCAGGAAAGGGTATGATTTTTTAAATTTTTTTGCTGTTTTTATCCCGTTCGGGTCTGGTTGCACCAGGGGATTACTGCTCCAAAACATTAAACACACACTATGTCCCGTCCACATGAGCCAGACTAGGCTGCACTCGTGATGGCCTGCGTGTTTTGTGACAGTTTGAGCTCTCCGGCACCACGATGGTCTGCCACATTTTGGTAGCTGATGGCATTTAAAAAAAAACAACATGTTACAGTCTGTCCTAAATGTGTGAGAGTGACTATGTGAGCTGCCACACACCGTCACAAGGGAGTAAACCAGAGAGAGGGAGGGAATTAACGGCGTCACAATGTTGTTACAGTGCTGTTTGGCTGCTCACCTTCCCAGTCTCCTCCCACTCGTCTCTCCCCCGTCCTCCCTCTGCAGTGGACGTGCATCGCATTTGGAGCAGCAGGTGGAGATGACATCATCTGCACTGCAGCACACTGCAGCAGTGGGTCTGAACAAAGACATGTCAGCCTACTGCTAACTATTCCCCCTCTTCCCCTTCGTCTCCGTCTGCGTCTCTCTCCGGCGTGTCAGGCTGGGGGAGAGGAAGAGCAAAGCCTTGTATCAAGGCAGGTCCAAGGGGCTGCAACTTGTCTCAACCCATTGGCTCCCCTCCCGACACATGAACTCCGTCTAGAGTAGGCTGGCAACTCGTCGCCCCTCTGGCTTCCACAAAGCGCTCGGCTGATGGGCTGCGATGGATCCAGCTCTGTGTGAAGAGCTGCACGCGCTGGTCCAGACAGCCCTGTGATGTAAAAGGAATGTTTTGTTCATCACACGGCAGCTCTCATAGGTAGCGTGCAGAACAGATAGGAATCAGAGGCAGGGAGCCTCATTGTTGTTCGCTCAGTCCATTATTCACAGTGCAGCATTCTGTCACAGAGAGCAGCAATTTAGCAGCCAGTGGCATTCTGCTCCCCCGTCCACTGATAGGAGCATTTTGACCTCCTTGGCAGTGGCTTATTGGAGGTCTCGCTGTGACATTAGCTCTCTGTGGAGCCTGCAGGCGAGACTCCTGAGGTACCGTAAAGCGCAAATGTCACCAGGTCGTGCTGTGAAAGCTCCCAACTTCTAATCATTAGGTCCCTACCTGAGGCATCAACACCGAGGGAAGGGAGCGGGCCAGGAAAAAGATGTAGAGTTTATTTTTCCATTGTTTGCCTCAACATGTTTTTCTTGTGTACTGGGTCCTTCTCCTCCCCTTCATCAATAAGCCAATAGCACACAGGCAGGCCATACGCACACAGCCATGTTCCTGTCGCCTAGTTACCGCTCGGCAGCAGGTTGCCACAGAAACGGCCTCATAGTAGCTAAATGGGGAATGCTAATGCAGTCTTCTATACTCCCTGCTGCAGTGGGCTCTCTGTGCCCATCCCAATCCACTGTCTGTAAACAACATCCTTTATGCGTGTGTGAGTGTGTGTGTGTACACACACACACACACGGCCTTGCTGTTTGCTTGTGTGTAGGTGAGTGTCTGTGATGGGGGTTCCCTTAATTCTCCATCAAGAATTGTATGTTATTCTTTTACATTCACTTATTGCAGTCTTTGTAATTGGAGTTTTTTTTTTTTTAAATAATGGTTTGATTAAACTTGCGCTTTATTTGTGGTTATTATTAGTTAGCTCAACTAACCCGTGAGACTATACTTTTTTTCTGTTTTCTTTGTTCTAAAGATCTGAATGTAAATGGAATTTACATTGTCACAAGTGGAATGCACCTCGCATCCATCTTGATGCATGGCAAAGCAGGATTTTCAAGGACTCCAGATAGGTTCATAAGTTTTGATTTATCTCATGCTGTCAGCTTCTTAGCCTTCCTTACATACAAGTGCACGGCATTGGTCTATAACAGGGTGTACTTAATCAATGGGGGAAGGCCTTCAGCTGTTCCATGCACCCCCACACCCCTCCCAAAGTGCTGTTTGAAAGGTGGGCACATTTAACATGCCCCCGCTCGTTTGCCTGTCTTCCAACCTGTACTAGTCTGAGGGGGCCGTGTTTAAGTGCTGCCAGCAAGATGTTTAATGATGGGCGTCATTAGCAGATGACTGATTGGCTTTAAGGATTTTCAGTGCAGCTAATTCTTTGGAAGGAATGAATAATTGATGCTATTGTTGTGTTTCACATTCTTAAGAGATAAAAAATGATCATTGGATTTTTACGTGTTGCAGTTTTAAGTGATCAACTTTCCCCCCAGCTTTCTTGGATCAAAAAACAGAGTTGTTCGTTAGTTTATCAACTGCTGATTGTACGCCGCTTATCATGACGCTAAACTCCAGCTCACTGTAAGAGACTCAGATCTCCTCTGAGCAACATATTGGTGCAGCTTGTGGTGCATACTCTGTGATCATTTGTCTTGTCAAGACACGGGGTTGTTTGTGCTTGGACCTGCAAACAGACTTTTTTTTTCTCCTTCCCCCTTCACAGTTGATGTTGCTTGTGTGCTGACGCGTTTCTTCTGCTGTGTCCCACTGTTTGCCCAGATAACCAGTTCAGAATGTCTATCCTGGAGCGCTTGGAGCAGATGGAGAGGAGGATGGCGGAGATGGCCAGCCACCAGCAGTCGAGCAGTGCAGGGAGTGGCGGAGCTGGTGGGGGAACAGGGGGAGGAGGAGGAGGAGGAGGAGGAGGGGGAGGCAGTGGAGGAGGCGGAGGGGCAGGCAACAACAGCCAGTTACAGGTAAAAAGCCACGTCATGCTGCTCATACCAGCGTGTCACGTTCAAAACGAGAGTTGCTGAGCCGCCACTGGCTGAGGAACGGCTGAGGAACGGGTCTCATCACTTGGCTAGGAATGGTAACCTGGTCTTTCTGTGTATTTCAGTGTGCATCTGGCCAGACGCAGGCCAGCAGCTCCTTCGAAAGCCGCGTTGTGGTGGTCTGCGAGAAGATGATGAGCCGAGCGTGCTGGGCCAAGTCCAAACACTTAATCCACTCCAAGACCTTCAGAGGCATGACACTCCTTCACCTGGCTGCCGGCCAGGGCTATGCCACCCTCATTCAGACCCTCATTAAGTGGCGGTGAGAAATGTCCAGCTGTTTGATAGTACTGTGGCTTTTCAGGGCAGCGTGGTGTAGAAAATATAAGTGAGATCCTTATTGTTTTCTCTTCTCTCATCCAGTACCAAACATGCTGACAGCATTGACTTGGAGTTGGAAGTGGACCCTCTGAATGTGGATCACTTCTCCTGCACCCCACTGGTAAGAGAGCCAAAGTTCAAAATCTGGAAAAATCCAGAAAAATGCTGGTTTTCCACTGTGTTAATACTACTGCCCATGTTCTGTCCAGATGTGGGCATGTGCGCTGGGTCACCTGGAGGCAGCAGTGGTCCTGTATAAATGGGACAGGCGTGCCCTTGCTATCCCCGACTCCCTGGGCCGCCTACCCCTGTCGATTGCTCGCTCTCGTGGCCACACAAAGCTGGCTGAGTGTCTGGAGCAGCTACAGAGAGAAGAGCAGCAGCAACCAGCCCCTCTACCAGCCACCACCCATATGTCCTTCTCCCCACCCCCTGACGTGCCCACCACAGACAGCTGGATGGTCAGCTGGGCGAATGACAGCGTAGTAGCACCCAGTAGCAAGAAAGGAGGTAGTGCCACCACCACAACCACATCGAGCACCACCAGCCTCAATCCAGGTCAGTTGTAGACCCCTTACTTTTTGGTGGTCTGTGGCAGGGTCTTCGTCGGTGTGGTGTCTAAGTCTTTGTATATGCATTGTGTTTGTTTTGGGCAGATTTGAGGAGACCCAGGTCAGAGCCCTCTAACTACTACAGCAGCGAGGCCCAGAGAGACCTCCCACAAGCTAAGAAACACAAACCCAACCCAGAACTGTTCCAAAGTCGGCCTGATAAGGCCTTGTCTGTTCCCCTGAGTCTGGAGCAGCAACAGCTCCACAAGCTGTCCACAAGCACCAAAAGCCTGTCCTCAGAAGGTCTGAGCTCAGACAAAGGCCTGTCCACAGGAGGGAGTACCGGAGCTACCAGGTGGAGCTCCAGAGAAAGTTTCTCCGGTGGCAACCTGGGAAGAAAGGCTCTGGGGATCAGTGGGAGCAGCAGTCTGGGGAAAGAGAAGCTAGTCAACCGATTGAGGCAGCGAGAACAGCTAGGCATGCTGGTAATGGCGGACAGAGAAATGGCTGATTCAGAGCTGCTATCCTATCGAGAGGATATGGAGAACCAGGATTGTCTAACGCAGATGGACGACCTGCAGGTGAGCATAAAAAACGTGTCAATCTGGCAAAAGGACTGCAAATAAATAAATGAAATATATAGCAGAAACTTTTCTAACCTTCACTTTTCTAACTTTTTTATGTTGTCAGTGAGAATGAGTACAGATACATTAATGAACTATCAAAAAACATGTCTATAAGGGGGATGGTGCTCCAGTAAATTTTTTACATTTTCCTTTGACATGACTATGTCTAACATGACCATCGCACAGTGCAGGTCATATTGGACTTATTGTTATCAAGCTACCTCTTAAATTCAGGCTTCCTGCATCAGGTTGGCAGCATTTAAACCCCAGACCAACCTGGCAATCTGTCAATGACCATCACTGCATAATAAACTCCTTCTATTGATCCCAGTCCATAGCCAAAGGATACTTCCAGCCATCTTTTGCTGCTGCAATAGATTAAGTGCTGGATTAAGAATTTGAGCCTCCAGCATTATCACTGTCGTCATTATCATCTTCTATGCTTTCGTTGAACAAGCCTTTTTGTCACAGTGCCGCACTGTTAAACTGCATAAGCAGACTGTGCTCAGATATGGCACAAGGTCAGTGCTCACCTCAGCCATCTTTTCTCTCTTTTTTTCCTCCGAAAAACAGGTAAATATGATGACTCTGGCAGAGCACATCATTGAAGCAACACCAGAGAGAATAAAAAGAGAGAACTTCACGACTGCGGACTCTGTGCCCTTAGACACGTCAGGGGTCAGCAACACCATGAACTGGCTGGCCAACTACCTAGGAGATGTAGAGCAGCTGCCCAGCATCATACATCTACGGTGAGGATCTTTAGCAACCATTTTAAGATTGAAGTCATTTTAACCACGCACTTTTCACCAGATGGCATGAAGTGATTTGACAAAAGCAGCCTAAAATATTCTTTCCGCAGGTCTCTGTACAATGAACCTTTGACCCCTTCATCCAATCCAAGCTTGAGTCCTGGGGGGTCTCCGCTCAAGGAGGGGTCAGTGGACAGGTCGGCTGTCCCTTCCCCAGCTGACTGGAGCGAGTTCATCAATGCCTCCAACAGCAAAGTGGAGCGGGACCTGGCCCAGCTGACCCTTTCAGACCCAGAGCAGAGAGAGCTGTACGAAGCCGCCCGCCTAGTCCAAACTGCCTTCCGCAAGTACAAGGTACAGGCCTCAGGTCCCATACACTGTGTGTAGGTGGCTCACAGTGACAGGGCTGCAGGCTAAGGGTTGGTGTTAATAGAGGGATTCTTTTTCGGAAGACGTCCTACCGTGTGCCGAGAAGTTTGGCCTCTTGTGTGATGATGGGTATTTGAGGTGTTCCATTTTTCAATCTCTGTCTTTGTCCTGTTCTCTGTTCCTTCACTCATAACTTTAAAACAATGTCAGGAGAAAAACGATACAAACATGTCCCTGTGGTTTCAGCATGGGAAAGGTGGTATGAGCAGAGCATGGCCTTGCTTAGAAGAGCTGCAATGTCCCCCATACCCCCGCTGCATTTAGGCACAATTAAGCTAATGTCCTCCCACTCTGCCTCTCTCCCTCTCAATTAGGGCTATGGTGCCTGCTTCTGCCTGTCTTGAACTAGCTCGCCACACACCAGCCCTTTCTCCTCTGCCCTGTCCAAATCCTGAACTCCCCACCCCCCCACTCTGATATCGTAAAGTTTTCATGTGAAAAACTGTTCACTGTCGTTCACAGTTGTCTTGTGTGCCCATCTGCCAGCTGATGCTGAGGCAGGAGTTCACCTCCTCCACCCTTTCACAGGTGGCTGGTCCTCAAGGCTTGGTCTCATTCCAGGGTGGACTCATGTGCTAACCACCAGGACACCCGAGGAAGACCCAGCCACTAATATCCTTTGTTTCACAAAGAAAGCAGGTTCCCCTGTAACCCTCCACCTATCCCGTTTTACTCTCCAACAGGGGCGGCCTCTCCGAGAGCAACAGGAAGTAGCCGCTGCTGTCATACAACGTTGCTACAAGAAATACAAACAGGTAGGCCCCCCAGCGCCATGTGCATTTGGGTCTGAAGGCACTTCAGCGCATCGTTCATAACATTTCCCCCTTCCCTCTTTACAAGCTGACATGGATAGCCTTGAAGGTAACCTGCCGGTTGCGCTCTTGTGCTGCGTAAAGCCGTCGCAGCGTTGTGCCGTTGCCACACAGCAAGGCATGGCGTGCCAACTGACGCGTGTCGTTTCTTGTCCGCAGTATGCACTTTATAAGAAGATGACGCAGGCCGCCATCCTTATCCAGAGTAAATTCCGCAGCTACCATGTACAGAAGAAGTTCCAGCAGAGCAAGAGGGCTGCTGTGCTAATTCAGCAATACTACCGCAGCTACAAGGAGTTTGGCAGGCTGAAGCCTCACCACCGCGGGGCCGCTGCTGCCCTGGTGCAGCACAAGCTGAGGTACACGGGCTAACGTTGCATTAAGGCCAAACGCTTTCATATATTAATCAAGCTACAAACAGTGAGATACTGAAGAGAGCCATTTGTCATACTACATAATTCCAACCTGACACATTGCTGGACTTGTCTGAAAGACTGACGGATGGTAGATGCCTTGAGTCATTCATTACCATAATCATATACAGAAACGAGTTTGAGAGATGATAAATAACCTCTTTTAGCCTGTTGAATATATTGTGCTTTGTAATAAAGCCTGTCACATTGTCCCTGATCGATGAAGTTAACTCAGCCATAGTTCTACAAACAACTGCTTGCTGGACATTAAGATGCCGCCTTCTTTCGGCTGTTTTTGCAGAGGGAGTCTGCTCACCAAAAGGCAGGATCAGGCTGCCAGGAAGATAATGAGGTTCCTACGACGCTGCCGCCACAGGTAGGGTCCAACACTGGCTCGCACACATGCCAACGTTCTAGATCGAAGCGCATTCTCATTCTGCTAGGGCTGGTTCTTGGTCTAAAACAGTGATATTACACTGATATTTTCAGTTAAAAAAAAAAAGAAGTGAAAAAAGAAAAAAAACAGAAGTGAGTGCAACCCTGGGCAGTGTCATCTAAATGTCAAATGACTCAAACCAATAATTGCATGTAAGAGTACTCCCTCATAGAAATGATAAAGAGCAATGTGACGCAAATATTGTGTTGAAAAGAAAGGCTGCTAAATAGAAACTCGGTGTGGCAACGCAAGTTTTTATAGGGATTTGTTGATGACACAAGGACAGTGTTCCTTAAGATGTTTGTGCATCTGTATCTTGTAAAAGATGTTTTGAGAAACAGCGGCTCAGTGGCTCTGTAGCTTTTCAAAGTCTAAAAGTTCTTTATTTGTTTTTTATTAAACTTTCATGCTATTTTCTAATGTTTAGTCACTCATCAGATAGTTCCATTGGCGTAAGTAGCAATCATGCAGTTACATCATCTGGAACAGCCCCCATAAAGTCGTGTCAGGGGAAGTTCGTAGGAGTAATCTACAGTTAACAGTGCAAACAGAAAAAAGAGGTTGGGGTGGGGGTTCACATAATCAGAAAGTACCCAGTGAAACTCATAAGAAATTGCCTAAAGTCAGCCTCTGTGGATGGAGGCTTCCTCATCAACTTGATAAGCAGCTAACAGAAACTTGGATTGGGTTTTAGTTAGACTTAAATTGTGTGTCTTCCCTCTGGCAAAGACTGCCAGAGGGAAGCCCATGAACCCCAGAGGTGGGAGTCTGTTCGAAGACATAACAGGAAAGTTTGCGTAAACCCAAAAGAGCCAAATGAGAGTTGATGAACATTGTTTCAGAGTCTGCGCACAAATCTGTGCCCTGCAGGTAACCTTCGCGTCAAGGATGATCGTTTGACAGTGCTTAGGAGATTTGAACGCCGTGGTTTCAGCATCTGACATTTGAGGGATTTTGCATGAGGGTTAACTCACTTCTGTCGGATGACATAGGACACTTTAATCATGTCCCACCCCTTTTTTTCCTTTACATTGCTTTCCTTGATATGTTTGTTGACAACATTCGGTGGTTAGAAATGTCCCCGACCCCTAAGCTCCACCTCCCTCCCCCTCACTGTGTTTGGCCCCCCCACCTGTCCTCGCCCCCTCCTTCACAGTGCCTACTGTGTGCTAATAGCTGTCTGGTATTGTTTTGCTGTTTATGCCAAGCCCCTTGATGGACCATAGACTGTTCAAGCGGGTGAGTGCAGCCTCAGCAACTCAGTTCGTGCCTACCTTCCTCTGCTTTTTCTCTCTTACAGTCTGTACCTGTTCATTCTGTATGCCTCTTTCTGCCTTATTCCCTCTAATGTCTTACTCTCTCTCTCTTTAATAACACTATTATCTCTTCCTGAAGCCCTCTGCCTTAGCATTCTCTCCCTTCTTCCCCTTCCCGTATCCTCTTCGGCTCTTTCTCCTCCACCTCCCCACTCGCCCCTCCTCATTCTCCATCACTGTTGCTTGATGCCTGCTTGCATGACGGCTGCCAACTGGAGCCACAGGTGGACTGAGAAGCTCAGACTTAGAGCAGAACATTATTTCGAACTAACAAAATGCTTATGAATGACTGTATCACTGCAACAGTTACTAGACATGTCTCTGATCTCTGTCTTTCTCTCCCTGAAAATGACACTTTAAAAAAAAAAAAGCTTTGTGTGGTTATGCAGATGGCCAGTTTGAGAGTACAGGAGGCTTTTTTTTCTCAACCGTGTTTTATCCTGCTGCATGTTAAGTGGTGACAACTATGGGCCTTGCTCTTTCTACATCTAGGCATGCTATGATACTGCTGTGTCTCACTTAGTTGCCTTTCTTGCTGGCTGGCTATCTGTATGCTCTGTTTCTAGCCACTTGACAGACTACGAGGGGGGGACTTAATGCCTCGAACTCCTGTTTACTGAAACTGCGTGAAAGCCATTTAAGTCACACGCCCACCAATTCTTTTCTTTTTTTTTTTTAAACACTCAAATCGAAAACAAACCTGCACCAGACCTGAATGCCGACCTGAATCAGGGAGTAAAAAAGAAGGCAAATTGCCAAATGCTTTACTTTGTTTATCAATCACACGTATATTCCATAAGTCGTAGTGCTTTTAGAGCAGGTGCGATTGTTGATGGAAAAGTTTGTCTTCTCTTCGGAGGTAAAGGTCAGCGAGCTGTGACGGTATAGCGCTCGCCGCCCACCGGGCCCACAACGTGTTGCTTTAACACTTCCCCACCACTTCACCACGGAAGATGCACACACGCACTCACAGTTTGGGCTCATGCTTGTGTCCACACAGTTTAGCGCTCTTGGGCACGTAGCGCTGCTGTGTTTGTCTGCCCCAGAGAACAAGCACAGCGGCGCTAAACACCTCCAATGGTGTCGGGTGATGCTTTACATTGTGTTAAACCTGACCCTGTTCTGCACAGTTATGCGCACAAACGCACATCTTTTCTATAAAAACGGTGGTATTTCTCAAGTTTATTGGCTAAGTCAGTGCATTGTTTGCTATTTTTACATTTGAGGGGGTTTTTTGTACATAGGAGGGAACCCCAAAATTCATATGATAAGAAATTAAACTTGAACAAAACAAAATGCAACAATTCATATTGTTCATAAATTACTAAAACTGACCAAAACAATGTACTTTGTATTAAAATATGACAAATGTGATTAGTCCAGAGTAGCCACCTAATGGAATGTGTCATAATGATAGTTACCAGAATGATGTCCTGTACTTATTTTGACACAGAAGCACACCCATATTATTTAGCCCACCTATATACATATGTATATAACAATGACTCTGTGACTGTGTTATAATTGTGTTTCTATGCATGTGTTTCTGTGTGTCTGAGTTTCCGCATTCCAAACTGCGAGTTTAATTCAAATGTGACCATTATTTCCTTTCACAGAGCAGCTGCTTCCTGATGACCCGGGGTCAGCCTAATGTTTTTCTGATAGCTCTTGCTGAGCAGTATAGCACTGTTAGGCCGGTGTGGATGTGTCTGCGTGTGAGTGTGTGCCTCATGCTGAACCTGGTACTAAGGGCACATTGCATTCATGGGTTCTTCTCTGTCTTTATGTTTCAGGGTGAAAGAATTGAAAAAGGCCAGGGAACATGAGACCCCCCAGAAGAGCCACCTTGCGATGTGACATCACTGTCCTGACTCCTCTTTTCTTTTTTGTTTGTACCTGAGACATTTTACAAGAGAAGAGAACAAAAGAAAAAGAAAAAAACACGGATGAAAGCACTGCGATTATTACTACGACAGCAGTGTTCAACTATTATTACATGTAGAACAGCATATTTTTCACATATCTATTCTTTCCACTGACTTGGGTTTTGGTTGGAGAGTGGTGACTTCTACAGGATTCTAAAACTTAAAGGGTTGGGGTGGGGGGGGCGTGCAGAACATTTGCTTCTTGGCATTTTTTGCACTTTTTCATGGATTGCTTTGTGTTGTTGGGATGTGAAGAGGTTTTGGACAGTGGAGGACGACGTGAGGACCTCATGGGACGTGACTAAAGGCTGCTGCAGACGCTCTCAGAGGACAGAGAGACTGTGCAGAAACGCTTTGGGCTGTAAATGTATTTCATGAGTTTTTTTTTGGTTTTTTGTTTTTTTACTGACCAGTCCATTTACTTTGAAGAAGGTTTTTTTTTTAAAAACCTGTTATATTAATAACCCACATGACCACTCCTACCCACTGCTGTATAATTATATGATACTCAATTTAGCTGAACAGCTCCTCCTGTCCTACTGTGCTCTGCCCCACCAGTCTGCCCACAAGGGTGGAGCTACAAATGAATGTAGAGGGGTGTAAACAAGCAGAAGCAGATTGGGTGTAACGTTTCTTAAAAAGAAAAAAAAGTACTATGCTTTATCTTATATATATATAGATATATATATATTGTCACTTTATTACTTGAATTTGTTTGTTCCATATTGTTCAATGTATTTCTTCCATCATGTCCAATGTATGGTGATCTGTATCTTCAGGCTATATGTTGTTAAATCCTACCAAGAAAAGAAATGCATGACTTCTTGGCAAGAAAAGTCTTTGCTCGTGTGCTTATGGTCTAGTCTTTCAGCCTACCCTCTGATTCCTGTTTTCTTTCCACTTTCGTGGCCCACATATCCATACCCCCCCCCCCCCCCCCCCCACCTTCCGAAGAGGGCCTCATTACCATTTCTGGAATGAAGCTATCTCTGTGTTGTCCCACTACTTTTCTTTCCGTTTTGCTTGTTCAATTGCTTGCCCCTCTGACACCTAGCAAGAGAAATGAACTTACCTATTTTGTGTTGTAACGGTTATGGTCATGCAGGTTATTACTGTTTATTTTTAAACCAACTTCAGAGCCTGTAAAGGCTTTTGAGGGGAAGATCACATACATTGCCTTGACGTCTTAGAGATTCTTTGAGGGGTCCCTAAGCTTGTCCCAAAATAGGGGTTTGACAAATCCATATTTTTGACAGTTGAGCGATTTCTGTATATAAAGGAGGCTGAAAGTACGCAGGATAAAACATGTTCCCTACTGGGATTGTATTTTAGAAATATATTATTTTATTCATTAAAAATGGGTCAAAAACAGGTACGAGACAAAAACAGAATATTTGTATAGTTTTGTTTGAATGCCACAGAAGTATGGTTGTACTGTTTGTATATAGTGTAAATATCTGGGATAAAAATGAGCTATGTGCATGAAAAGTATGAACAGAGTCAAAATGAGGAGGGAAAAAACAACAAAAGCAGTAGTGGCTATGCTCTGTAAAATTAAAACTATTTCACTATTAGAGTACTTTACTTTATTTTGATTGTTCTCGAGACAAACATTTTGCTAAAGCATGATAGTATTGCAATATGAAAAAGTTACAAAAAAAATCATGTACTTAGTGTTAGGAGAGGTCTTCAAAATGATCTTAAACTAGTATGGATATTTTATTTTGTTGTTTTTTTTTCATTTATTTATTTTGGGCTCCCAAGAAACTTTTGCCAATGGTGCCAAGGTACGTGAATGCTATATAGCTTAAGAAGATAAGTTAATTTTGCAGAACAGATAATCATACAGCAAAACACACCTAATCACTGAAGATCATAATGTCGCAACTGGCCGAGGATTGCAAAAACAGTATTTAGGACTTGTATTTAAACAGACAGCATTTAAGTCTATCATGTCTCCAGCATCCAGATGTGTTAAGCATTTATTCATCACTGGATTTACCATATCAAAGTTGTGTTTGATTTTTGTTGACATTGAAAACGGAATGTGATATGATCACCCAGGTAACTTGACTGAACTTAAAGATTGTAAATGGCAGCCTTGCCCATTCGATCCCTGTGAATTTAGCCATGCTTTTACTCTGTCACTGAAAAAGTTGGAATTCGTCTCTCTAAATGTGTCATCTCTTGCACTGAAGTGTGATTCATGATGTAAGTGGGTCCTTCCTGTAGACTAGTGGCGAGATTTTACCAACACAGTATGCTTTACAAGAAATGTCCTCCATTGAGGTCGCCACTGTCTTAGGAAACTTTGTCTCTTATGTTAAAAAAGAAAACAAATGTGTTGTTTTTCTTGTCAGGTTGACAGGCATCTGGCAAACTGCACTTGACTGTATTTCTATCTCATGCATCTGAATACACACTTGCAAAATGAACCGTTCCAAATGTCTAAGGTGCTAATACTAGCCAGGAGGACAGCAAAGATCTCAAATGACTGTAGTAACATGTAAAAACAGTGCACTAGTGCCAATTATAAAGCATAAGATGTATCTTGTACATTGGACGATATCATAGTAATATCTGTATAGATCAAGCTGTTGTAATAATTAGAGAATAACAGACGAGTTGTTATAGGTGCCTGTTGGCTGCTGTCCAATTCCTATGATATATTCTTACCAGAAAGTGTATTCTGTATCCAAACATGTGACAATTCAGCCAAGTGCCACTGGAAAACTATTTTTCTTTTGTTTGTTGTTGTTTTTTTTACTAAATGTTTTTTTAGAACTATCATTAGGCCAAATAGGCATTTCTTTCATTTTACTTTTCTTGGTTGTTTTCTTGTTGTTGTGTTTTTTGTTGTTTTGTTTTTTTTGTTATTCACCTTGACGTGTCAACTTTGTTTGCAGAGTGTTTATGTAGAAAGTGCCTATTCATATCTTCATGACACCAATCCAGTTACGGAATGCGTACAATGCACCTGATGTTGAAGAAATGCAAGCGAACACCACCACCCACAGAGCGTGCTGTATCCTCCGCATGAACCCGCATTATGATCCCCATTACACGCAGTGAGACTCCCCGTACACAGCACTACTCAGTAGAACACTCTAGCTCGTCAATCTTCCTATTTCTCCTTTTTTTAATTTGGTTCATTTTCTTCTGGGACAGCTTGTTATTTAGAAATGCCACTACTGGGGTTTGTTGCCTTGCATTCATCCTCTGGTCTGTGGTCAGAATGCATAGCCACTGCAACGTTGTGGCATCACAGGAGAAGGATTTATTACGCTTGCATGGGTAAAAATAGTTAACTGGGTGACAGAGCCGCACCTATAGCATGCTTATTTTCTTTGAATCGGTAGTCAGGTAGACTCGTTATAAAAGACATACTGTTCCATAAAGGCGGAGAGCATCGGTTTGGTTTGTCACAGAACTCAGAGAGACAGAGGACAAACCTACAAGTGAAGCCAGTGATCCATAAACAGTAGCTACTGACGCTTTCATGACAAAGCATGAGGAAAGAATTGATTTTAGAGCAAGCCCTAACTTTATAGCCTTTTTTTCTTTTGCTTTTAACTCTTCATTTAGATGTCAGTGTACTCCCAGCTTCACATAGGACCGAACGTGCAATGTTGGAGGCATTGTGACAGAATATATAGCAAAAATAACCAATCGCACAGCACACGTGTAGACATGTCGCAGTTGTCAGTTTCCTTGGAGAACTGAGCGGTGAAGGCCAAGGGACTGGTTCACCTCCCTTCTGTATTTTACTCAGGGTGCCAAAAATGGGGAGGAGGAAACAGAGCAGGACTTGTGATTCGGAGGAAGCCGAAGCTGAAGCGGTAAAACCTTTCCTTAGAGCTTTGTGATTGGGGGGAAAAAAAGATCAATTCTCGGGCAGAGAAGTTCACCAAGGGGATACTGAAAACTTAAAAATGAATTAATGTAATATGTAACCCAGTCCTCCAGTAACCTTCAACATTACAGACACTATAGAACCCTGGAGTAGAGTCTATTTATATCTAGCTCATTTAGATAAAAGATTTGACACTCTGTCATGGAAACCTGTCAAATGCATCGTATTATTCTGGCCACTTCTTTTAGGCCTTTACTTTATCTAAGTGACAAAGTGTAGGGGATGTTTAAGATTAAGGGTGTAGCTATATGAAAATCGCACCTGCAAATCTAGTTTTTACTACCATTTGCGGTTCGGATGACAGGTTAGGCTAATAGGAACTCTTCTTTATCGATACAGTGATACCCATTTCAAGACGTTCTGTGGACTGGCCTGAGAACCTGCCTTTCCTCCTCTTCTTTTTCCAAAGCACCCAAACCAGAGAAAGGTAGGCGCATCAGGACAACAGAACAGAAGCTGTTTTACAGTATATTCCACTTATTGACACAGAGCAATAAAGAACTCTTTTGTGGAGACCTGTAGACCTAGCAAAGTTTAAACTGATTGGACACATGTAGTTGACTTACTCTTATGCAAATGCCAGTATTGCAAGACAAAGCATTCAGTAGTTTATGGACAGCAATTATATGGCACCCTTTACCGAATTGCACGTTTTCATCGATTCCAAACAGAGAAGAAAAAAAAAAGGCCATGCTTTGATAGAAAGTCATGGGTCCTCGACACTTTGCATGTGAACTAGTGTTAGATCTATTTTCCTCTCCTCTATAGCTGTCTTTCTCTCTGTCTTTACCTGTTACGTGACCCAACTTTTCTCCACCCCCAACCCTGAAAGGTTTCATCCCCTCTCAGTTTCTCCTAATGTGTTTTGCTTTCCCCCTTCTTCTTCTTCTTCTTCTTCTTCTTCTTCTTGTTCTTCTTCTTCCCTTCTCCTGTTTGTAAGTTTTATTTTTGTAATTGTGCATGTACAAGCGTCACTGACTCGATGGATCTGTTTTAAAAAAAAAATGAAAAAAAGAGATTTCAGCTGCTGAAGCCATGCAAAACGTTTTGAATTGCCCTTAAAATATGAAAGATGTTTTCTGAATGCTTTATATTCTTTCTGCTGTAAAATAATAAAAAAAAGGAAAAAATGAAGAAAACTTGAGAACCAACTTTGCCACGTCTTTTTGCCTCATCTTTTGACTTTTTATGAAAGGCAGAAGGGCTTCCTCCTCTGGGACGGCTCCCAAAAACCACGTTTATGAATAAAGAAAACTGCTGAGAAGTTCTATTATTTATAACACATTTATTTATCTCTCTTACAACAAACAGTATCATCTTTGACAGTCACATCTAAGATCCATTTGGTCATAAATAAGATAACTGAGGAATTTCGAGAAATCTGTTCGCCTAGTTTTAAACAAGCTTTGAAGTAGATCCTAATAAATCAACTGAAAGTTTTTCAATCAGCGCGTCTCAATCAGGCCTTGTCGTTTTGTGAAGACATACAGGCAGCTGGGTGTGTGTGAGTCCGTGCACGAGGGAGCCAATATGTGCACGTGCGGACGCGTTGCTCGGTTTGTTTTGGTCTGCAAAAGCTTGTATTAGTCCGGGATAACTGTTTCTTCTTGTGCAAGCCCCGCTTTCTGTGTCGGGTCCTAGACGCAGTACTTCCAGAAACACTCGGAATTCCCCGCTCTCTTCCTGAACTGTTTCCGGATGCCCAGCATGTGGCTGAGAGGACTTAGGAGACCCTGCTTCTCCAGAAAGACCTGAAAAACAGGACAGGGTGGTCGTCAGGTCGTCGGGGTGCTGTAGTTTTGAAATTGTATCCAACTTGCAGTTCGGAGCTGTTTTGGGGGACAGCAGAGGTCGAAAACCTACCTCTCTTTTCATCCCCCTTGGCAGCAGATTTGTTGTCCTGATGCCTGAGGGACAGCGAAATAACAAGATTACAATCAGTTTAGGAAAGAAAATTGCATTAGAAGAGCGCGCCGTTGGCAGCCGGGCTCTCTTTAAGTAGCACCGCCTGGCACCACTGGTGCTCCTTACCATCTCTGTTAAGCTCCCCAGACATCAGAGTGGAATATCTGAGACCAGGACCATCCTGTGGAGGGAAGGATTGCTCGGAGAGAGACAGGTCGTCCAGCATGCCCATTCCTCGGTCCTCCACGGACACTGGGGGCCGCCGGCCAAGCGCACACGGTTGGTTACAAAACAAGAACAGACCAACAGTCACACCACTCGCATAATCACTGGACATTCTCTAATCTGTTACCTGGTCAGCATTTGTAATCCATAAGCATTTTAGATCAGGGAAGGAAGAAAAAAAAAAAAGCTAGACCTGCTCTCTGAAAAGCACAACTAACATTTGAACTTTGGCAGAGCGCTGCAGCTCCAACGCAATTACTTCGAGGCCCCGGGACGAGGCATTAATCTTTACAAACTATATTTCATTACCAAAATTGCTTATCGGGAAACTGGATTCATTAATAATTAAGGATAAAAACCGATAGAGATAACATCCCGCACTCACCGGGTCCTGGATAGGCCATCTCAGCAGATTCTGTAATGGGGTGGGCCAGCAGCGGGCCAGAGGCCACCAGCACAAACGCCCAGGAGAGGAGATGGTTGCACTTCATCACTGCCGGATGCTGTTGGTGGGTGGAAGTGCTTCTGATTTTCACAAATGTCCTCAGGTGAAGATTCTACATGCTCTGTTTGGCCCCGCCGAGTTATATAGTTTCAGCCGTAGCCTGGTACCCTTCCTATGTGGCACACAGCACACACACACACCACACACACACACTTTTGCAGCTATGGGAGTCATGTCCTTTCTAACTGGAATAAATCAAACAGCCAGTCGCAGGTGAATTATGGTCACAGTAAAAAAAAGACACGTGCACCGGCCCGTACTTCAAGGGCAAAGTCGTGTTTTCCTGCTCCTTGGCTTGATTGACCACTTTTACAGACTTTGTAAATGGTATCGAAGCAGGTGCTCCGATCGTCATATCCCAGGGGAGCAGGTGTTGGAGAGAGCAGACAAATTACCTCTGTCTTAGGCATTTTACAATCTGTCGTCAGGTCGGGCAGCTTTATGCCACAAGTTCATTAAACTCTTTGGACATTTGAATAATTCCGACCTAAATCTGGAACCGAGGGAGGCTCCAAATAAACTGAAACTGCTCAGCCGGAGGTGCGGGCCATGCTAAGGTTGTTGTAAACGTGGTGCCTATGAGCCATCTGACATTTTAAATCACTTTTAAGACAGTGGAGACTTTTCACTGGTCACTGAATCGGACTGATTGATGCACATTATTTAGAAGCCTGCTTGTTGCACGATGTGATGTTGGTGCTTTGGTTAGTAAAACTAAACTTTATGGGGGCGTTGGGCGTCACTGGGCTTACGCATTGGTGGGGAGTCAGCAATCTACAAAGTCACTACACCCGTGCATGCTATTTGTGTATTTATAAGAGCCACAACGTCAATGCTCAGCCTCCTCTGTGACGATAAGAGCAGACGAAGAAACAGTGACATTTGATTTTACGGCGGCTGGGTCAGACCCATTAGGCTTTAAAGCCATTAAGATTTCTATTGTGTTTTAGTTGAGTGCCCACTGACACGACCGGGTCATTACAGCATCCAAAATGAATGCTGTCTCTCCACTCTAAATAGTTTGTTCCCCTTCATTTACATCTCCATTTGTGTGAAAGAAATGACAATTTCTCCAAACAAATATCTTTTAATCAAGAAAGTTCTATCGTTTTACATTGTTTTGAAGCAAAGATCACAGGGCCCTTTTGTTGCCAGAATGTCAGTATAGCTGCACAAAGGATCTGAGCAGAAAAGAGTAATTATGTGATGCTATAGATTTTAATGTGTCTGATCATAATCGCCCTGTGATTTCTTTAAGCATACGAGCACCCCGCTTCCATACCTATTATTTTCTCTCTCATTTAGGAATTTGTCAAGTATTCTTTTGAATGTATTCTTTACTGATTCTATTAGGGTTATTATAGGACAATAAGTTATGTTATGAGGCAAAACTGAACTAAGTGAAAAATCTAAAGATGTTATTTCTGACACTAATGCCCTGAAGCGTTCTCTTGTCAGTGGCAAACAGACAAAAACTTAATCTACTCTTTGGCAGAAAGAAAGCACCATGTTTTTTAAAGACTGAGTTTTAAATCTGGGAATAAGCGGTCACGGAAATGGATGGATGGATGGACGGATGGATGGATGGATGGATGTTTAAATCCCATGTGAGGTTGGGACTTGAAGAGTGACTAGGTGAAAAAGGCTTGCTGTATAAAAGCACTAGAAAAAGACCTGTCCATTTATCATTAAAAGATCTCTGTATAAGATCTGAGAGCTTTTTTTTTTTTTTTTGCTTCTTTTTGTTTCTTTTAGTTTATATTTGCGTCTTTTTGTTTTTTTATGTCGTTTCACTCACGTAAGTACAACCACCAGAGGGCAACATTACATTTAGAAAAAGCTGACACGTTTTTTTTCTTTTGTTATTTTTTGGCTTTTCATCATAGATATTAGTTTATTTTTTAAAAATGCAACATCACTAGCGATGCTGATGTATCTCTGTTTTACTTGGATTCCTGCAGATATAAGGTTTAAACGCCAAAGATATTGTATGGATTGTGCAAGGATTCACTCCAAACGCAGAATGCTATCTCGCTTGAAACCAATTCGGTTGTGTATTTCCTCGGAAATCGGCCCTCCTATTATAATGCATCACTCGATCTGGTTAAGAGTAAATCAATGCAAAATAGGTTTTCATTACTGCATTTAAAAAAAATAACTATGTGTTGACTATGAGTCATTGAATGTTTTTTCCAGTTGTGAATAAAAAATTTCAAAAAAGTGAACACTAACAAGCAACTTGATTAATAGTCAACTCAAGTGGATCACATCTATGGAAATTTGAGTGACTGGAACATTTGGCTACCTAAGTGTTAGCTTCAGGGGCTGTGGGGAAAATAGAATTACAATCAATTAAGGTCAAAGATAGATACATAGGAACTCGAAAAGTTTAATAATTAAGACTGCAATGCCAATTGTAAGTTTTAAACGACTTGTCGAAAGACAAAGTCAAACTTTACTCACGTACGTCTACTCTTTTTGCGCTACGTCTGCGAATTCGTGGTGCCACTACGCTGTATCAGAAGTTCATCATTCATTTAGTTAGGTTCGTTTAGTTTATTCTTTTGTGATACTTATCTAGCGGCTTCTATATGGCTAGGGACAACAGTCTTTGTTTTAATGAAGGCAATAAGTGAAAAAAAAAAAAAAAAACGAGGCGGAACGTGTCACAGTACGCGAACAAGGGATGCTCGCGGTTAAACTCAACACGAAAGAGTCTGAGCCTTAGGGCGACCGTGAAGGCGGCAGCCGTTGACCGCCCCCACTGCTGCTGAACGAGCAGGAGCTGAGGAGAAGCAGCCGGGGCGGCAGACTGCGGGCTAACTTTGTCTTCCCTCTGGCTTCCGCCCACAGAGCCAACAGGTCCCTGTTTTCTGTTATGCTCCAGTGCCGCCGCTTTTGCGTGGAACTCGCACCTGGACTCGAGGCGTTACGGGCGGTCACCTGCTCTCGTGACATTTTGGTTAATTTGAAGAGATACGACGAGGAGGAAGAAAAGGGAAGGGAGGGAGGGACAGGGCGGACCACTCCAAAGTTGACACTTCGTCGTTATGTTTGTTACTTGTTGAGTGAGCCGTGCGAGCGTACACAACTCGTCAGCCTTTGTGGGCAGCGCGCGGCCAACACCTGAGAACAGGTAGGGAGGTAGGTTGTAAACTTTGGCGGAAATACCGCGATAACTTGTCATTAACGGCACTTCGCGGTGACCGTCGCCGCCGCTGGCTCGCGCTACCGGCGACTCGTCCTACTTTTGAGCAGCCACCTGAAGTACAGACATGTCCACAGAACGTGTCGTTGTGTTTATTTGTTTTTTTTCCTCTGTCGTGCCAGGGTCTCGTGTAAGCACCATGAAGCAGTGACAGCCCCGGAGCAGAGATGGCAGAGCTGGAGATTGACCAGTCCAACCTTCCACGTGTCCAAGAAGGTAAGGGGGCACACTTATTCAGACCCTGGGTCCTGCTTGCCTCTTCAGGTGCTGAGGGGAATGGAAAAACGAGTGTAATGGTCTGTGGCTTGTGCAGGAGAAAAGCTGTTTTGGTTTGGCCCCTTGACAGGCAGGTCAGGGATCAGGGTCAGTTACTAAACTGCACATGGGGGGGTTAAGGGGGAACCTCAGGCCAAACGATGCAAAGTAAAGAGTGGGAGACACATATGCTGGAGATGGAATGGAACGTGCAGTATGAATAACAAGGACCCGTATCTGTGTCAGATGAGAAGTATCTTGATCAGAGTTTATGTTGACAATGGGGCGGTGTACACTTCTGTCCGGGGCTCCGTACAGGGAGCCGCTGGGACAGGTATTACAGGGCTGCAGAGGGAGGGAATTTTCCGCATGAGTTCATCGGCACCCAGATGGAGCTGTCGTTGGCAGGACTGGTATGTGGGCTGTAGATAAAACTAAGGTATGAGATGAGTGTTCGTGATGTGCACTTTCTGCCAGACCAACACGGCTTGAGCTGACCTTAAAAAATCCTGTGAGCTGTGCCCCCGTGTGCTGTTGGTACTCAGATGAGACACACTGATGCAGACAGAGCGGGCAAGTTGATGGGGGGGTTGGGATCCAAAGCCCAAAGTTTTCTTTTAAGTGAAATTAGAAGCTGCCTGAATAAGAGAATAGTCACAAGTAAGGAATTTCTAAGCTGTGGCCTGGATATAAACGGTCACCTCAGTCTCTGGCATGTCCACATAATGAATGGGATGGAAATAGGTCTGTGTGCCTTTCTATCGAGGGAGATGGTTCAGCACTCCACTCTGATTTTCCACATACAAAGGGCACACTGTGCAGCTTTGCATTTCATGCTTTGTCGAACAGAGGCCAGCGCACAAACAAAGCCGGTAATGGCGTCCATAAACTTGTCAATTTGACAATAGCGGTATGTAAATCAGTTTTTGTGTCGGGATCTCTTTTCTTTCTTTTTTTCCTCTCTCACTCATTATCCACTTGAGCTCACACATCTTTTTAAACACCATACTTGGCACCAGACGTCTCATCGTGGGTGCTTGTGTTCCGTCTTTCCCAAAGAGCCTCTGTCCCTCCTCACCTCCACTTTCCACTCCATTGCAGAGTCTTTGCCAAGTCACTTTTCTTTGTTTTCACAGCCCCCCTTATCAGTTCCTGTTTTGGCCCTCCTCTGGCTCCTCCTGATCTATGTGCTGAGGGAATGCAGCTCCCAGAGGAATTTCCCCCACCTCCCACTCTTTCCTAATTTCACTCTCACTATTTGACCCAGAGTCCCATCGCCTCTCATTTCTTTGTTCTCCACCACAACCAGGTCCATTTTTATTTTATTTTTATTTTTATTTTTTAGCTGGCTGGCTGACGACTCTTGAGCTTAGAACACAGAGCTGTGGGATGGACAGGCAGTTCGCGGTGAGATTTTGCAGAGAGAAGAGAGCCGAACAGTGCGGAGAGGAGGAGAGAGCGGAGTGGGCGGTCGGTGGGAGATTTTGGCTGAAAATAGAACCCTTGTCATTTTCTCCTTTCGCTGGTTTCTTTGTTGGCAGGCACTTGCTGCTGTACTCCAAGAATCTGCAAACATGAAGGAGGAATATCTGAATGTCTGACCCAATCTGCATGATTTTGTCTTTCCGTGATTTGCGAGCAGTTGTCTGAAGTTTTTGAAAGTTATTCGGCTGCTTGACATCATTAGGGTAGCAGTTCCCTAAGCTATCCTGTAGCACTTATTTCCTGTGGTTTAATGGCCGGGATTCTGAAAAACTGTCAAGTCACTTCTACTTGCCTATTTTAGAGTCTCCTTTTTCTCTTATTTCTTCTCTTTTAGCATACAGATGCTGAAGTTTGTGTTGTCTGTGGGAATGTTTGAATTACCGTCCTCTTAGAAAACAGACACAGGTTTGTTAGGGGCCCCTATTAAGCAGCCTACAGTTGGCGCCCCAGGATTTGCGCCAAGCATATGTTTTTACTGCTGGTCCAGCGTGCCTCGCACCCTTTCTCTAAAGAAACCTGTTTTAGAAGGCGTAATAACACAGTCTCTTTGTCCCACCCTGTGGAAAAGAGATGTGACCATGCTTTAAAGGAGCTTGGAAAAACAAGTTCACCCGCAATGCAGACACACCCACCCACACATACTCACTGACACACATACAGGATGACATTAGACAGGACTGTTGTCCCCTCCGTCCTGGAATTAGGGCTAAACTGTTTTGAGCTGTCACTTGTCCTCTCGGATAAAACTGAGACCTCACCTTAACCCCCACTGGCAGTCTGGATCCACTAGGCCAGGTCGTAGATCCGTTAAGTGGATATCCCCTTAAGCTCTGCAACAGGTGTAAGTGGTATAGGTTAACTCGGAGCAAGATTTATTGAGGCGTTTTTGGGGGGAATGGATCCTTTTAGGGCTTAGCGCTGTCTGGGATATTTCTATAAACGCAGACTGTTGAACCTCTAGTGAAACATAACCCCAGAGACTGTTTTTTCAGCAGCTACAGCTTTAATTGAATATTTAGGAAATAAGTCATGGCATGTGGCCATATTTCCCCACACATGTGTCTCTCTCTCTTCCCCGTTTACATCCTAAGTTTGACTGATGGTAACAGAGGCTGATGCCGGGGATTCAATGCTTATCTGTTTGAGGACAAAAAGGGCCTGTGGTGCCCTGGTAAATCATTTAAAACAAAACAATGTCAGGTTTAATTCCTACCATCTCTTTTTCTCTGACATTCAAGTCCGTCTTAAAGCCTGGCCTCAGTCAAGCGTCTTGATGTTTTATTTGTTTGCAGTTAGTCACCAACACAGATGGTCACAGATGACTGGAGACAACCAAGTCAATAGATCCCTCCTAAGATGAATCTTGAGGCCCCCTGTTTTTCTGTCCATGTGGCCATCTGGTTTGAGCTCATCTAGTAAGCATGCTCCATGTATCCCTGTCTGCCTTCAGTTGTTTCCAGTTTTATGTTGTTTCCAGCGACTGAAACGCAGCTCAGCTCATGCTTTAAAAAGCATTTGCTGCGTCTCGCTCTACGGTGATTTACTAAAAGAAAGAAAAAGGAAAACTTGGACATCTGTGCGGTGGATCTGGCTTTACCATGTACAATGGCACCATTTCTCACACACATTTACTGGGACAGAGACCCTTTAGTTAACTGACCACATTTACAGTTACTTTATGTATGCACCTCTCGCTGTTGTTCAGTCCAGTTCAACAGCTTCATTCACTGCCCCGTTTTATGCCATTTTATTTGATTTTATAATTTTCACTTCTATTATGTCAGAAACACAGAAAATTGTTTCAGTTATGCATCTAAACGTTTTGCTGCTCAGATGTATTATAAACCTCCATATTGCATGCGTGTCAGCACAGCTCATAAATAGGATGCTTCAATATCCCAACCATTCATGCATTTTGCATGTGGATGTGTGTTGATGTCATTATTAACTCTACAGTAATCCCATTAAGTAATCCTGGAATGGGATCATGTGTTTGTTTGAAAAAAATCTGGGAAACATTGAATGGATCACGGGGATCTTGTCTGTGTTTGTTTTCTTTTTTCATACCTCTCGAGCTTGTTTGACAGACCTGTAAACACCTAGGGCTGCTGCAGGCCGAGCCCCTCACTGCTTATGAAGGGCTTCTGTAAACACCTGGACACTTTATAGGTTGTGCTTGCTGTCTGTAAACGTTCATACTGTTAAGATCATTGTTTATATCAAATAATACTGAATGTTTTTAATTTCTTTCCAAATCATTTCTCTTTCATTGTTGTTATGTGTTGGTCAAAGAGCCGTGGTCCCGTGATTGTTAGACAGGGTCTATGTCATCTTTTTGGACTGAATGTATGTCAAGTTGGCAAATGCAACAGCAGGTCTCAGACTTTAGGATCTCACATTGGGAAAAGTGAGTTTGGCCCACGATAGCTTTGTATATGGTAAAGGAGACTTGGGTGGTTAGAGCTGATAGTTCAAAGCTTTGGATCTGCTACGGCACTACAGGTGCTACTGACCCTGCACCACAGTCCCTTCTAACAAAGCGTAAGCGGTAAATTGCAAACGTTGCATGTTCATCTTGTAGTCATAGTGAGGGTAATGACTAAAGGAAAAGCCTCATCCACATGCTGCTATTAGTTAGAATCCAAATCTATTCACTGCTGTTCTTGCTTTGAAATGCTGTGGAATTTGGTGCATGTGTGGGTGGACCTGCTGCTCTGAACTCAGTAAATTCAGGATGACTTCACTAAGCTAATTTCAGCTACTGACATAGGGATCTTAAACAATGGTACACTGTTATTTGAAAGATTTTCTAGCCCCTTGGATGTGCATAATATTTTAGGATGGAACCCTCTAATCCTTCTTGAGCTTTCATTATGGTTTGTGTGCCACTGACAAGCTGATGCTGTCTGTTGTTTTCAGTGTGCCAGAACTTTGCTGTGCTGGAGGATGGAGTGTTGGCACACAGCCTGCAGGAGCAGGAGAGTAAGTGCTAAACGAATCTGCTGTGTGAGCACAGCACAGAACACACATGTGGAATTCTGGTCTCTGTGAAAAGGCCAGTGAAATGTGAAAATAAGCATGTTTCTACTTCTAGTGTTCAGTGACTATAAAAAAAGATCCAGAGAAAATAAGAATACATGATTGGAGAGCCACATGTATTTATAAAGCTTACTTGTGGTGTGTGCTTGCAATGTGAATAGTCTTCTAATTTGGTCCTGGTTTAAGGATGCATCAGACATCCAACAAAGAGCTGGCTGCCACATTCCTATGATATGGATCATTGTTTCTCACTGAGCTGTCTCACTCTGCCTTTCATTGTAGTTGAGCAATACTACACCACCAACATCCAGAAGAACCAGCTGGTGCAGAATGACATCCGTGTGGCGAAGAGGCTGCAGGACGAGGAAGAGGAGCGGCGCGCGCAGCAGAGCGCCCTCATCAGACAAGCCTCCAGACAAATGTATACGACTGGGGTCCCTCCCCACTTCTTCATCATTCAGACGCTATTTGCAGATCGTGCCTTTGTTTTCATGTTGTATTGGGTTTCTGGGGTTGTGGGCTCTGCAGAGAGGAGCAGGACTTTGAGTATGCTCAGGTGATTCAGGAGGAGCTCCAACGGAGTGCAGAGGAGGCCCGCAGGAGGGAGCAGGATGACGAGGTGAGCCTTCGCTCCCCTGTAGTTTGGTTCACCATCTTATCACTGGGGAATGATTACTCCATATTCCATATGTGTTTGATCCTCTTTTAGAAAGTTAGAAGGCTAATCAACAGTTGTACTATGGATAAGAGAGCAGTTTGAAACATGCGACTGTCTAATGTCACTTATATATGGAGGATCAGTGGAGAGAGGGCAGAACTCAAAAGCCTTTCATCCTCATTTAATCTGACTTGTTAATCCAACTACGATGCACTGCTTGCAGTTTATCAAAGAAACCAGGCCTTTGCTTGAATAACTTCAAGCAGTAGTTACCAAAGTAAAACCAAAGTAACAGAGCTGATGCATGGATATGTTTGCCAACTTCTCAGTTATTTTTGTCTTTTTTTTATTAAAACCTTTAGGTGTTATCCTCCAGCTGACACATATCTTAAATAATGGGAAGAGAAAGCCTAGACAGGTACCGATGTGAAGTTGGATTTGACATTTAAAGAAACAAACACTTCACTATGGGTTTAGGCAGAGTGGGAAATTGTATGAACAAGTTCAGAACAGAGTAACATTTAAAGTCATTCGCCCTTTTCTTATTTAGTAGGAAGAAAGAAAGCTTCTCTTTCTTTTTATTTGCATGGGACACCTGGCACACATCTCAGACTGGTTCTATTAAAGCATATTCATGTTGGGGCAACCTCCTCCTCTTCGGTTTGCCCCTCTCTTCCTCGGGGCCTTCCTTGTTCCTGTTGATATGATATCCGAGCACATAATTCTGAAAGAGGATACAGTGGCCCCGGAGCCCAGACTACACATCAAAGTGACGGAGAAATACTTTACTGGCAGTTCTCCTCTCAAATACTTTTCCTTTTCCCTCCGATTCAACCAGGGACAGCCGGTAACCTACCAATTCCCCTTCAGTGGTCGCGTGCTAAACAGTCCAAGTTGTTAAAACACACCAGGTTAATACCATGACTTAAAAATCACATTACCTTTCTCTCAATAACAAACTGGCTCCATAGATTCTGTAATCCTCTTGTTTCTCCGTGTGTGTGGTTAAAGGTTTTAGCAGCTGACATTCAGAGCTGTCGCTCATATTTCACGCACTGGTGGAGCATTCAGCAACGAATGTAAAATCTGAAATTCCTGTGAGATTTCGTTGTTTTCAGAGACGGACAGAAGCTGAGGGGAAACTTTGATGTTTAGATTTTGTTTAGCTCAAAGTTAAAAGAAAGAGCAAAAAAGTTTCTCCTAATATAGTATTTATGTTTGATCTTTTTTTCTTTTCTTTTTGGCTATCTTTTGTCAGAGGAGTAACCTGGTGAACCCCTTTTAACAAATGACTATGGCTGTTCCCATGGAAACTGCAGTTTGGTTAAGAAAACAGAGATAAGGGTCAGCTTGATTCCATTGTTGTTGTTTGGGTGTTTTTCTTTTGCATGTGTCCTTTTTTTTTTGTCCTGTGGTAAAATAAAGAGCCCAATCCATCTTGTGGCCTGAACTCAACAGGGGAAATCTCCTCCCCTTTTTTTTTTTTCACACACGTGCTGAAGCCAAAAGTCTTTCTGTCTACACCATGAAATGCGCAAGTTGCTTGACGGAGGGAAAAAGTGGCCACCATCATAACAAAGAAACGGCAGAGCTGTGAGAGTGGAACAGCGTTTATGTGGAAAAGAGTCGGCTCTGCCACTGAACTCCCCAGCTGCTCCGACGCTCTGTGCCTCAAGGCCACTCCAGCAAAATATTTTCTTTACGCAGCAGTTTCCTTTTCAGTGGAGGCTGCCTGTAAAGGCTTCTTGTTTAGAGGCTGTGAAGTTCATTCATCATGATTGAATAGGTCATGTTCGAGCTCCTCTTACACTCTTAGTTAAATGTTAAAGAGCAGACTACCTCTTGGGTACGCAAGGATTTATTTTTATGAGTGTTTATGCTGAGATCAAATGAACCATTAACGCTTCCGTGAAGCCTCCACCTTCCCTTAATGACTGGCTGATCTGAGGTGTTGATTAAATATTTGCCTCCCCGAAGATTGCCTTTAATTAAAGAACAGAAGGTGTCAGGCTGTGCAGTTTTAAATGCCACATCCCCGTGGCACTAAACGCCCAGCCTGCCACGGCAAAGCCGCTAATTGTTTGCTGATGCGGTTCACGCTCGCGTCCTGATTGCAGACGGAAGGAGCTGCGCTTGCTTTTGTTCTGATTTATGTTGTAAATACACCCTGCAGAGAGAGGAGGGGGGCTTCATAGAATTCCCAGGTAGATTTAGCTGATTAGTTCCTGCCTTTGTAAGAAAAGCAGCACTCCAGTGTGATGGCCCCCCCCCCCCCTCTCCTGTCTACAGACGGCAGACAAGCAGCTGCTCTGTAACCCTCGGGGGTGAAGTCTGACTTCGACCGAAACACTTCTGATGTTTCAGTTCCATAACACTGAAAGTTTGCTTCCCCTTGGTGCAGCCTCGTATTTGTATATGGAGTCAATCACTTTGCTTGATGTTAAAGGCATGCTTTTTGTCTATTCAACAGCCCGACCTGTTTAAAGAGTTTTGTATGATTTTCAATAAACAGATTTCAAAAGAAAAAATAGAACTATCAACTTGACAAATTAAACCGCATGTGTATTCTAACGACCTTCTTTGTTGATGGGCTGTGCAATACTGCCATCTACTGGCTGCAAATGACAGTAAAGGCAGCTTCTGCAGCTCCCTGTGTTTTAAAACTCCTCACCTTTTTTTCTTTGCTCCTGCTTGTGACATGGAAATATTTGAAGGATATCTTTTCCAGAAGTGTTATTTGGGTAAAATACTAGGGACATATTTCTAAATTGTACATTGTCACATATAGATTAATGCTTTAGTTGTGGCTGGTTCTGGCACCGCGAGCGCCTTTTGATTTAGATAGTAAAATAGAAACAAAAAAAGGTATCAAATAAAATGTACATAATACAAAATCTTTTTCAGTGGTTTTATTGTGGCCAATCGTTACACAGCTTAGAGGTTATGCTCTGACAGAGGGATCACTGCATCCGTTGGGTGAATCGTACTATCTGTATGTTCTGGTCATGTTTCTGATCTATGACCCAGACATTTTTTATAAAGGAAAAATCAGCCTCTATTGTTCATTTAACTTTGAATTGTTCAGGATACTAATTTGGTTTAAATAATAGAAATAATCGATGCTGACATATTTTTTTCCAGGAAATTGCTAAACGACTGCAGGAAGAGGAGGAGCAGAGGGTCAGCCGCAGGAGCAGAGCTCAGGAATCTCACAGTGAAGGTACAATTGAATATTTCAGTTTGTCCTTTTTTTTTTCTTTTGCGTGCTGGTGCACCAACATTCTACTGCAGCCCTAACATCACCACATAACGTTCTTTACAAATTTTCATATTTTAGGGATTTGCCCTTAAAGCTGGACATGAGTCATTGCTTGAGTAAAAATAATACACCATCATGCATCGTCCATAGGTGTGTGTTTTGATAGTCGGATGCATGCGCTGCATGTTGTCTGTGTTACTTTTTTGCATGATGACGTGTTTGCAGGGTCTGTTCCAATCGATCTGTAAGTGTATTGGAAAGCCCCTTTGTACTCAAACACAGATAAAAAATTGGAACGGAAAATATGCGACTTGCTGTTTGTCATGTGCTTGTCACCGTGTACTGCATTAGCCTTGTAGCACCCACTAACAGACTCACCCACCCTCCCTGCTTTTGTGTTTGCATGTTTGGCAATACTAAAGGCAGCTCCAGTGACCCTGAGCTGCTGTCCCCACACCAGCACGCGCTCAGCAGTCTTAACTGGGACGAGCAGTACTCACCCACCACCACCAGGTGGCGCTCTACCTCACACGACCGTCCGGATTTCACCGGGCCTCAAACCGGCTCCCCCAGAGGCGTAGCAGCTCAGAAAAACACAACCTCATGGTCAAACCAAGGACACACCTATTCCATCAGGCAAATGAGGAGTGATTCCAGAGAGCCTTTGACCGAAGACTCGGAGGACTCAGACACAGTTTTCACTGAGCGCCTCTCACTTTGGTCCCAGAGATTGTATGAAAGAGTCAAAACGGCACCTGAACAACAGCGGGCATCTTTCCGTCCGCCTCACAGGAAAAATTACAGGAGTCTGGGCTCTCCCAGCCGCGTCCCAGAGGAGTTCAAAGGCTGGGAAGAGGAGCCGGAGGAGGGGTGCCGTAATCATGATCTACAAAGGAGAAAACCCAGGCATCCGGATCAGGAGGGGAGCCACAGAGATGCGCGCGAGGGCTGGCTCTGGGATGAGGGCTCTGACTGTAAAATTGCGGAGGCCAGAGAAAGGCGGCGGCGCCGCAGTGAGTCGGTCAGAACTTACGACAGGAGCAGGCACAGAAACGGGGGTTTGGCCAGAACCTGGAGCCACAAGGACAGCCCCGACAAACGCGTCCACTTTCAGGAGGACGGCAGGGGGCCTTGCAGGCAGCAGAGCGAAAGCAGCCAGGTATGGGAGATGCTGGGCCACATACTCAGGGAGAGGGGCGTGCCTGTGAGGTTTGGCGGCGGCGGGGGGGCGCCGCTGCAAATACGGCCTCAAAGCAGAGACAGCCAGGTGCTTCACGGGAGCCAGGTCTCCTGCGGCGACTCCCAACCACATCAGAGAGCCTTTCAGAGAGCTGCTAGCACCAGGCACAGTTTCCATGGCGATATCAGGGAGAGGAGGAGACTGTCACGCCGAGAAAATAGTGGGAGAGATCACAGAGGGGATGGAGCCGGGCTCCATGATAATGGAGAGGTGCATGAGGATAGTCACAGAGGCCCCTCCGTGGCTAACACCGAGAGACTGGGCAGCAGAAGGTGGAAAGAGCACAAATACACCAACAGTGAGGAGGATGGAAGGAGCCACGGCAGTGACGCAGGCGTCAGGAGGAATACGAGCAGGCGCTGGCACCAGATCACAGAGCAAAGGTTAAGCTCAGAGGAGCAGCAGCAGGTGGACAGCCGGCTAGAGCGGCCCAGACGGACAGCCCTCCAGCATAGCCAAAGCCTCAGCCTCAGCAGCAGCAGGGCCTCTGCCAGCCATAGCTCCCAGCACGTAGCAGCAGGTAACACCCAGCCTGCATTCAGCTCTAATCTGAAGGGCGGAACGCTTCCAACCGGCCGCTGGTTTCCTCCCTGTGCTCATTCGCTGCTGTCCATATCTTCTCTGTCGGTGTAAACGGAAGCGGGCTTTGACTGTCACTTTGGTTTCTGACTGAACGGGGCCAATTGTGCTTTTACTGATCTACAATTTATCTACAATCTACTATTTTCCTTCACCATCTTCATCAGTTTTACTCTTGACGTGTGGTCTAACTCTACATGCTCTTATCTCCTCACTCTGAAGGCCATCAGGCCTTGGCGTGTCAGGCTCTTTCAGCACATATCTATGATTCACACTTAATCACTGATAGATCAGCGCACATGGTTGTGACTGTTGCCTTGGTTTCTTTGAAAATGACGGTCAAACTTCACACCTCACACAGCCTCTGTGGAGCAAGAGTCAAGCGAAGCATGTCTGGACCTGGGGGAGTTGCACCAAGTCCTCCTGGATGAAGAACTGGCCCGTAAGCTGCAGGAGGAAGAAGAAAAGCTCTTGAGGAGAGTAAGTGGCAACAAGAAATATGGGTGTCCTAAAATTAAAAATGGGTGTCCTTTTTCTTTGTTGATGTTAGAAACGTGTGTTGATAACCTGCTGCTCCTCCAGAGCCCGCAGCAGGTTGCACACGGTCACTATCCAGAGGGGGACTTCAGAGTCGCACAGGTCGCCCAGGACGAGGTGTGATGCACTGATATGGATTCAGCTGTTTCATTCATCTCATTTCCGACATTACTCAGAAGAGTGATAACCATTTTTCGTTCTTTTTTTTTATCTCTTATTAGGAAATCGCTCATTTTATGCAGAAACAGGAAATCAAATCTAAGCGTCAATCTCGTGAACTGGAGGGCCCGGCCTCATGGCGTGGGCAGAGAGAGATGAGCCACCACGACCGACGGGCTGCCAGAGACAGACAGGTCGCTGCCGTGCAGCACAACACATAGGAACATTCAGCTGCGCTCGCTCTCTGTGCCTTAAAGTCCAACTTTGCCTGCTCCTTTAGGTCCAGCGAGAGAGGCTGGACTCAGAGGGCCTCCCCTCCCCGACCGAGGACTGCTCCCCAGACATGCAGCCTCCCTCCCCCATCTCCACCACTCTGTACGAAGGGACCCTTCATCCGTCGTGTTGCCTTTATGTCTTTATGTGAGCTGTGTTCTGGTGAAAAATAAATGAATAATTACACTGTACTTCCAGAAAAGCACAGCAGATTAGGAACATTGCAGAGGAGCTGGACCCCACCTTCCAGGCCAGGAAGCAAGGCACAGAGAGCCTCCGGCCTAGACAGACAGGTACTGTAAACACGCAAGAACAGCCCCCCCCCCCCCTCAGACAATAGCTGGACACTGCTACAGTTTTCCTCCATACAGGTCCAGCATGCGGCTCGCTTCCTGTGCCTTCCTCCGGCTTGCATGACTTCCTTGAGGAGCCCACCTTCATCCCACCAACAAAGCGGCAAACCGAAAAGCCGGGACGGAGCAAACCCAAAGAGAAGAAGGAGAACTGCAAGCAACAGTAATCGCTGGTCAATCACGTTAGAGGGAATTATCAGTTCATTTCGAGTTCTCAAGCTTTTCTACTTTAATGTTGAGAATTGTTGAAAAACAGCCAATCCCAATAGCACAGCCAATAGCACTTTAGAGCAGTGGAGCAAACACTAAAATATTCTTCAGTTAACTGGCTGGGACTTTTCAGTGGTGAGAATTTGGGTTTTCTGACTTCACATACATGCACTTAGGGGTGTTTTTTGTTTTAAATCTTACTTTGCCATCAATCGGCACACCGTTAGAAACCAAAATGAACCCTTTACCATCACCTACGCATTGTCCAAATGTGATGTGAACATTTGGGGATTGTGTTTAAAGCCATAAACATTTGCTCTGCTCTTTTCTAAGAGGACGAAAAGCGAAGACACAAAGACCTGACCCACAGGTTTCTGACAAAGCTTCTGCTTTTAATGTGTTTTTAATGTCAACTGTACAGTGACAATCACAGTCTGTTTTCTACTTGGGGAAAAAAACAGAAATACTCTTTATGTGACATCAAGATTTAACATTAAGAATAGGAAAAAAAACATTCATTCACCTCTAAGGTCCCCCTCAATTACCCATAACAAGATTTGTAGCTAGTGCTACCTTTCACAGACATTAGCTTATGACACCAAAGAGCAGGCTTGGCCTGGGACTAAAGGTTATCCCTCCCTCTCACTACTTGTATAACACTAAAAGCAATGAATGGGTTTCAGTTTTATGCTTCTCCTTTTATTCATTGGTTTCTGTTTTATTTATTTCATCGTTAAACCCACGTTCTGTAGTCTTTACTTATGTTTTGGTTTTTACAAAAGAATTATGTCACTTATGTAGTTGGACCACAATGTGTGCGGCTGTTCTGTATGAAAGTACTGTACAACTAATAAAAAATTACATTGTGTTTTATTTGGCATCAAGGTATGTATACAGTACAGTTTTATCCAGTGTTGATAGCATGCAAGTATTAAAAAAATATATATCACATCATTTGTACTTTTGTTAGGCAGACAGAAGGTGACAGATTAAATAAAGTGCAACAGTCAGAAAGTAATGTAACTGTTCTCAAAGCCACTATCAGTCATCTGTGGTTTGTCGGCGGACGTCACCGCCGAGTTAAGTCACATAGAGCACAAACTAAACACTTACTGAAGACGTGGGTACGTTTTTAAGTCTGCTCAGCACCTCTCAGAATTTCCATTGTGTCAAGAAACGCCTGCTACAGTGCAGAAAAGACCTACAGCTTTTTTTAAAAGAGAATAAGCCACTTCCTGTTGGTCTGATATTGCTGCCCACTTCACTGAGCGAAAGAAACATTTCAAAGTAAGAGGCCTCGAGGGGGTGGGGGGGTTTCCATGTCTTAAGAGTCACTTCAGTACCGTTGAGGCCGAGTGTATATCAGGAATGTCCAGAGGACCTCCTGCGCTCAACTCATCAAACTGGAATCACAAGCATCTATGATTAATGTGATTGTTTAAGCACAACAGAGCTTACATGGCTCATAAATTCTTGTGAAAAGAGTCCTGTCTGGGCATGACCAGCAGGGTGGTGAAGCTTGAGCTTCTCTCTCTGAAAAGAATGAAACTTACTGAAGCATGATCTGTTGGCTCCCATCTGTTGGCATTATCAGTTCAATGTTCAATTGAGAGGAAGGAAAACCCCCTTCCCTGGACTTTCTTTTTAACACAAAACAATTAAGGGCAGGAAAGTCCATACCATTCCTGTCGCTGTAATGTGAGGTACAGTGGAAGAAGGTAAAGGTCAAGCTGTTGTTGGCACAAACCTTGTTGTGACTTTCACCATCATCACAGACAATAAAAGAAAACCAGAATCTTAGAAAAATACCAAAATACCATCACTGCTGAATGAAAATGAACATGCCACTCGACCTTATACAGTACTGGAACTATGGGCTCGGTAGTTAAAAGATATCGAGCGCTGGAACCAAGATGAAAGCGAAAGACTTGACTTGGAGGAGTGTGTGGGTACAAAAACAGACGTGTGTTCTGACAGCAGAGCGCCCACCTGCACTGTACTTTCACACTGACTAACGCTCACAGGGGTTTCTTCTAGTTTAAAAAAAAAGAATATTTCTTTATAACTTAAATAATTTATACACTGTTTTTGTTTATGTCTGCGGAGGAAAGAGAAAAACGGTCGGGTAAATCCTCCCACTGTGCTGTCCATTGTGTTTACCCTCTTGAGAATTCCCCCTCCTCCCTTCTGCATATCAGGTTATCTTATGATGACGTTGTTCCGTAAATATAGAGTAAACCTTTTTTTTTTTTTTAAATATCACAGTAGTTGTGGCTGATGAGTAAACGGCAGCGAGGTGAATGTGGCTGTGCTGTCTCCTTCATTAACACCTGAACAAATGTGTGCAAAAACAACTTGGTCTCAGCTTCACAAAAAAAGTTTCTAAGCTTTTTTTTCATGATCCCTTGTTTTTCTCTGGAATGAGTTGAGCAGAACCTGGACAGAGTGGCGTGCTGTTCTCTAGGCGATGAGCTGCCGGGAGGTCTTGGAGATGAGCGACTCCGTGCTGCTGCCCTGCTCCTGCCGGGGCTCGTGAAAGCTGCATTCAACCGCTATCAGTGTGCGGGGATCATCTGAGGACACCACAGGGAGAAAAAAATATCAATGTTTAAGTCAAATCATTCTTCTCTTCTATCCCCATGTTCCCACCTGTGTGACGGTCCAGGTTTTTTATTTCGTTTGTATTTTCTGGTGGAGTTTTTTCTGACAGACTGGTGAATTACCTGTGGGTGGGCTGATGACGGGTTTTTGTGGGGCGGGCTTTTCTCTCCTCTTTTTTTTTAGCCAGGTTTTCAGTGCCACAGTGGCAATGATTATGGTCATGATGAAAACGGCCATCACAGCCGAGCCAACGGCCACAAGTACGGCCAGTTGATTTGATGTCTGATCTATTTAAGAACAGTGAGAAGAAATGACATCTTGATATACATGGAAACAGGAAGTCACACTTCACACGTGGAAAAAAAAAAAAAGGCCTCACCAGGTTTCTTTGAATTGCCCATAGGGGGAGGTTTTACACACTGAATGTCGGACGATGCGTTTCCTTCGGCCACCTTCAGTTCACCTGGATTTGGACACCTTAAAAATGTAAAGAGATGCAGTGACTTTTCTCTTAATCCATTAGATATTAAAAAAAACCTGAGGCTATGTGTGAAACCATATGAGAAAAACGAATAGCTGACTCACTCTGTACTCCAAGGCTTACACTTTTGAAGACTTTCATCTCTGAAGGTTCCGGCAGGGCATGGTTTACATGAACCTGTGAAGAGTATCTGTCAGCTGAAGTGTAACACACCATGGTATTAGGCCCATAATCATTCTTTTAACTCCACTCACGGCGAACGAGCTCAAAGCCTCTCCCACACTTCTCCACACAGAAGGAGCACTGGGCATCTCCACAGGTCAGTCCTTCTTTACAGCCACACTTGGTGTCGGACGTGGCTGTGCACTTTTCCAGTAGAACTTGGGCACCTGGGGAAGAAAAAATGGATTTGGCGTGAGAATCCATTTAAACAACATGCTTAAGGCTGCAGTGTCACACAGGCCCAACATACCGACACACTGGGTACAAATGGTGCAGCTGTACGCTTTAGCCTTCAGATTATAAAATCCCTCCTGACAGGGCTTGCAGAGGCTATCGGCTTTTGGGCCACACTCTGTGACCAGGCGATTTCCTAAAAGAAAGAAAAGAACATGCACGGATCAGAGTCACGCATAAAAAAAGAACTTAATAATGCTTGTATTGATGAAAACAGACCCATTTGTGGAAAAGGTTCACAGCTCTGAAGGATGGGATAGTTGAGTTACATCAGTCTAGTTTCTGTTGTGGGATTAGCTGAAAAACCACTGAAACTATATTTGGTTACATGCAGCCACCACAAAGGAACTCCTCCAGACTTGGAATGCATTCACATTTAACTAAATACTGCCATCGAGAAGTATTCCTCCCTGCCTTCAAAAGTATTCTGGACAGTCTGAAAACTAATTTTGATAAATCCATTCTGTGTGTGCCACACATCTCAGTTTGAGCCTGTGCGGTTAAAACGATCAACACTTAAATGCCCGGTCTTTCTTGTTTTCTTACCAGCCCGACACTCCTCGCAGCAGACGTTCTCTCCGTCCTGTCTCCATCTCTTGCAGCCGGCTTTGGGCTGGTCAGGGCTGCAGGAGCCCTCCTGGGTCAGGACAGCCAGAGCGGTCAGCAGGAGGAGCGCGGTCATCCTGACCTCCGCTCTGAGGGACAGCGTCCGAAAAGTAATCCAGCTCATTTTTGTAGGTTCCCCTCCCGTCTTTCTTTCTTTCTCTCTCTGTCTCTCTGGTTCTGTCTGTCTGAAAGTTCTACAGGACTAACTTGTGTTGTCTCCGGGGACAGCCCAGCTCTTTGAGTCATGTTCGGCCCAGCTTCTTTATACGCGGGTGGGCGTGGCTCTGAATGACGTCATTCTGTGGGGGGGGACACGTCCCCACTTGTTTCACATACTCAGGTCTCCGTAGAGCAAAATACTATGGTGTTTATATTTATTCTTATTCTAAATATCTACGTCAGATGCGACATTTCTTATAAACCCTTAGTTTGTAAATTATGGCTTCAATAGCTCGACTCAAACTGTCAAAAATCTCCCCTGACTCCTGCAGGGCCTAACTTTCCCTGGGGGATCCTGTTTTTTTAGGAAGTCCCGGATAGGCCCATAAATCGTTCTGGCATAGTTATCTTCTGTAAACAGATATCATGGAACTGTGGCTTTTCCTTTTTCGACTGAAGAACCCCCAAGGTTCAGGTCAGATAGTCCTGTTCTGAAACAAAAACAAAAAAAGCCTCTAGGTCAAAGACTAAATCTTAGCCAAAGAAGATCTGGTTTGACTGTTGCACTGTTATCCTTTGACTCTTTGATAAGAACGGGATTTAGGACGTACAGGCTTTTTCTAAAGCATCTCGACTTGGGTTTATCACACATCTATGCATTTTTTTTATGGCCGTATATTCCCAGCAGGGCTCCAGGGGTGGGCTGGGGGGAGAGCCTTACTCTGATATCCCCGGAGCATTTTACAGAAGTGACTACTAAATCAGAGCTCTGTAACTCCAATAAAAAGACAGTCACTGGCTGTATTTTAACAGAGATGCTGAGGCCGCTGCGTTCCCAGACCGAGAGGCTATAAAACTCCCACAACTAGATGAGGAAGTAACCCCCCCCAAAAAATGACCATTTTAACTAACTATCCATTAACTAAAGAATTCCCTTTGTTCGTCCCCTTCCCAGGCATAGGGATTACATCACAGATGCCTTGAGTGGGCAGACTGCAGCATCAAAGGGAATATTAGAGAGTAGTACCCAGGTCCAAACTTCTTAAAAGCAGGCAGTTCTTCTGGAACAGGCTGCTCACTCAGATAGATGAAGGCTCATCACCGGCCTCAGAAAAAGCAAATTAAATCTTGTTGCCTTCAGTGTTTTATTCGCTCCTTTCCAATGCACAGCTGGAGGGAGACGCTCTGCACACAGCGTGAGAGAGGTGGGATTTCAGAGATTACTCTTAAGCTTTAAACACAGATTTCTGACAGGCCTGAATGACACTGTGGACTTGACTGAGTAGGCCTAATGGGATAAAAAAGACAGTAGCATTAAGTCGAGACATGTCGAGGTAATTTGGCGCTTGTAGTAGCAAAAGCCAACAGACTTGAACCTAAATGGGGGCTTTGGCATCGAGAGTGGAAAGGGTTCCTGGAATTGTAACTATCTCCCCGCTCAATCGACAGGGCTTGAGTTATGTGATTAAATATCTAGTTGGAATAGAACTTTATGTACAAGTGAGGTTCTTGCTGTGATGAGCATGCCTTCAGCAAAAGTGTTATTATGCTGACTCACACTGAAGTCTCGGTACAGGCTCGTGACATTCCCAAATTCATTTTAAAATTAACCGTTGCCAAGGGTGCGTTTTTCTTAGTGTGCTAAAGTAACAGGGGTGAACATCAGCTCTTTGGATCTTTGTCTGTTTGGGTATTATTACAGTCCCAAATTTTTAAAAAAAGAGGATGAGGATGCCATGTCATCGTGTGATGTGACTTTCCGCTCAGTGACTGAGTGCTTGGTCATCATCAGGAAGACAGTAATCACTATTAAATCTGTGACCTGGAAGGATTCTGATGAGTCATGTAAGTTGTTATCTGGCATCACGTTAAAGGGCACTGAATTCGAAAAAAAAAAGTTAAATTCCCCCATTTGTTAATCCCCCATTTCTACAATAGCAAGATTGTTTGTTTTTTTATCAACAAAGAGCTCAAACAAGACAAATGCGAATACAAAATTGAAAGTGAAAGCGCAACACCAAAAACTCCTACAAAAAGGAAAGGCTGGTTTTTTAAAACAATTGAACAGTACTTCCTTTGAATGGGAAGTAGGCTTCCTTACAGTAAGCGTCTCGACTGTGGGACACGGGGGGGAATTTAGCTGAATAGTGGCGGTAGGTAGGTTGCTGAGCCCCGGGGGGGAACATGGACTGTTATCCTCCTGCATATGCACACACACATGAGTCACGTCTGTGATGTACCACTACCATGTGACTCCATGACATTTGAGAGACAACGTCTTTGACACTCATGCATCACGCTGACCACCATCATTTTGGGGGTGGGGGGGGGGGGTTGTCATGTCATAAGTCAACTCATGATCTGCCTCCGCACCATGGCCAAGAAACACTTCCTACATTTACCTTTCAGCCTCCCCCTCTGAGGCTGCAGCAGGAGGCTACGTAAACCCCAGCAGCCCCATTAGCATGCTGCTTTGGGAAATCCTTTTTTTCTCGTCCTTTTTTAGGCTGGGAGAGCAGCAGTCCTGCTCAGCCTGCTGGTAAATGAGCGTGTAGCATCTGCAAGTAGGCCGACACGTAGGCTCAGAGACAGTCAGACTGCAACCGCCTCAGCTGGGACTGGAAGTGTGTTACACTTTATGTGATGTGTAGCTTTAACTGATGACCGTGCTCTTCTTTTGTTGGCTTTAAGCTTGACCTCTTCCCCCACCATTTCCTCTTCCTGCCTATATGCTTGGCAGCTGCTTCCAGAGGAGCTAGTGCTGTGTGTGTGTGTGTGTGGGGGGGGGGGGGGGGGGGTGCTTTTACGTCTGAACGGGGGATTGTGGTTGCGGGGTCACGCCGACTCGGGGGGTCTGTCTGCTCGCCGCCCAGATGCTTCTTGAAAAATAACATCTGCCCACTTGGAAAGTACGCAAGCAACACCGCTGCTCGGAAGTTCCACACAGGGGTGGTAACCATGAGGCGTCAGAGCAGAGGAGCGTGAAGATGACTGGTGCGTGGTATTTACCTTCACTCAACCTGAGCTCACTTGAAGGAGTCTTCAGGGTGCGAATCCTCCAGATCAGCCCAGACCTAACGGTGAAGATCAAATTTGTGTCATTAGTACCTCTAAACACCTGCCCTCAGTAGAAACAGCAATCATTTTTCTCTTTATTTACATGAAAAAATCTATTTTTTTGTCAATTGGAGTTGAATGTCTCCATCTAGTGGAAACCACTTCATTACTGAGTAGGTAGACATTTTTTAATATGGTTCATTCTGTGATTTACAAGTGACTGTAGCTAAGAAATTAGAATGGTGGGAAGTTTTATAAGAGGCCTGGTGACATAAGAGTGACAGAATGGATGGTGTGTGTGTGTGTGTGTGTGTGTGTGTGTGTGTGTGTGTGTGTGTGTGTGTGTGCGTGCGTGAATTTAACTTGTGACGTCTTTCCCCTTCAGCGGTCGACAAGACAAAGAAATTCCCTTAAAATGTAGTTCATTTCCAATAATAATGATCTGGAAAATACGGACAAAAGTTTGAACATATATATTTTTATTCATATATATATAATAAATTTCTATGTACAATTTATTCTTCTTTTTGTAACGAAACAAAATGAAAGAGAAAGCTTTGATTGCAAACAGTGTCTCATACTAAAAGGGAGGGAGATAAAATGAAAAAGTGCTAGAAAAAAAAAACTAGCGTGTGTTATTCCCCAAATGTAACTACAGTTTAGGCAGAAACAAAAAGGGGTTGCCGTTGTTTTGCAAGGAGATGTTCACGCGAAGGCCAGGATTCCCCTTGAAGTCACTTTTTGAACACATGACATGTGGTGGAAACGGATTGAGAGAGATTGGCATCTCTCATGCCATCACCTAACTGCCATTAGAAAGAGAGCCGTGAGGCTCTGGCTTTTCTCTGGCTTTTCTCTGGCTTTTCTCTGGCTTTTCTCCCACTCACAGTGGGTTTGACGGCTGTGTTTGGCGTCAGCTGTTTGCAATCCAGCTGTTTTAATTAAAAGGTGTTGTAACCAAAGCGCGGCCGGTCAGTCAGGGGGCCGGAACGCCGACCGGAAAAGCGATACATTCGACGAAGCGCGGCCGGGTCAGTCGAAGCTGGCCCCCCCGACCCCCGACCCCCACGGGCGCCTGATTGTCTGTCAGTCAGCCATAGCGGACAGAAGTATGACACCGTAAAAGCAATAAGGACACATAAATAACATCACAAAAATCATCCAGTGTACGGATTCATCCTTTAGATCATTGGCAAGAGGCATCCCCCACCCCACCCACCCACCCCTCCAATTTTAGGAAAATGTGTTGAAAGCAGCCGAGACAGTCATGCACTACGCAGCCTTGTTAAGCTAGCGGACGGCTACAGGGCATTCCTTGTGAAGTCCAAGCGATCCGCTGAAGGATTTCACCAAAATGTGAGCCGAGTCAGGCTCACATTGGCGGGAAAGGGTTCAGAGAATCTGCAGCCTCAGAGTTAAAAGGGGGGAGGGGGGGGAGAGGGTTTCAGAGGTTTGTCCCAAATTTTCACTGCCGCTCACAGGAGGGAGCCGGGACACCTGGGGCCCCGGAAAGTGCAGGCCGTGGCCGTCAGTCCGGGTCTGGGGGATTGAGATCCAGTCCCAGCCAGATTAAAGGTTCTCGCAGAACAGAAAAAACACACGGAGAAAAGAGTACGCACTCCCGAGAATGTCTGCAGCCTCCAAGACGTCACCGCACGGAATACCACGCACGATTCACAAACTGTACATCATGTCAATAGAAAAAGGAGGTTTCCAGCCGAGGGGGGGGGGG